AAAAAAAAAAAACTTTTTCGTTGTCAATAAGTTCTCTGCAGAACTCAAGTGGAAATTTTTTAGTTTCGCCTGGTTTAATTTCGTAAAAAGTCTTCTTTAAGGAACCTTTTCCTACCCTAATCATAATCAATTATGCTAAAAGAAAAACATTGGTAGATTAATCGATTTGAAAAATAATCGTTAGTTACAGCCCAAATATACCAAAACATCCCACGGATAAAAAACGAGATAAACAATAAAACAGTTCTACATGCATTAGTTCAAATAAACACATTCACGAGTAAAACCGACTTAAAAAAACTCTAACTAAAAACTTTGTAAAAGCCTATTCTCATAAATGTGCATAAATTGTGAATGTAACAAGTACTATATTCTTTTAAGAGGTAAGCCTTAATTTTCATTTAACATGTAAATGAGCGGGAAAATTCCACAAGGTATCCACAATTTAAAGCTGTGATTTTGAAGCTGTGAAGTTAACTCATAATGTTTAAGTGGTAAAGACAAACAAGGTACTTTGATTTATATCCTGTAAACAGGATATGCATTTTACGTTAAAATGCACTTTTTCCTTTATTCAGTAAAGTTATTCACAGTGGATAGAGTGGCCAAACATTATACTCAAGTAAAAGTAGCAATACATCATAAAAGTAAAAAGGCAAGATGCAGTAAAACTACTTCTAAATGGTACATTTTGGTCGAGAAGGTACTTCAGTAAATGTAACCGAGTAAATATAACTACTTGCATATAAGGTATTCTAGATTTTAAAATAGGCTTCAAATACAACAAAATGAAAGGCTTCTTCATTCTAATAAAAAAATGTGTGGTCTTTATGGAAGAGTTGGAAAGAAATACAAATTACGCAATTCATTGAACACAGATATCATGTTAAAGAACACAATCTGGGCAAATAAATAAATAAATAATAAACTTTTGGACAAGTTTTACACAAACTAAGGCTACACATCAGCCTCAAACAGGACAGTGGCATCATGATGCTGTGGAAAATGCTTTTCTACTGCGGGAATATGAAATCACTAGTGGAAAGAACAACCTAATAGAGGCTGCAACAGAAAACGGTGCGTCTTGGAAAGCCTGCCTAAGATCCAGAGTCTGTACCTACTTAAACTGATGAACAACCTTTGACAACATAGAATATGATGACTGAGATCTGTTTGTCGCTTCACTAAAATGAATAATTTTACCAATAACATATATTAGTCTACTCAGACATAGGCTACAAAGGATAACATATTTGATCATCAGATGAAAAAAGAGAGAAATATGCGCGCTTACTCAAAGGGTCAGTCCATCCATCAGATTTCCCTGCGTGTTTTTCGCTTTCATACAGCAAGGAAACCCCTCTATGTGCTGCCAATCTGCTGCAGCGCTTTTTAATTTGACTCCTTTCTGTGTCAATTGGTAAATCACTGACCTAAAATGAATAGGGTGGGAGGAATGCGCATGCGCACTCCTCTCCAGCCTGCTCCAAGTTGTCATTTCAGCCAATAAAGATTGTGGAGGGGTGTGGTTGGGGCTTGGCTCTGCCCACTAGCCACGTAGGGCGTTTAGGTCGTAAACTCATTGACGTCAATGAGCCCGGCTGATGCGAGGAGCGCCTGTCATTAATCCCAGAAAGAAAGTAACATGTGAGGATCCTGCGCCTGGATGACGCAAGCAGGGCTCATGATTACTGGAGCGCTATCAACAGAGCTGGCATTATTAGTTCAATCCAGTGAGGTGGCCAAATAGACAAAATAGATATACACACTTATTGAATATCAAAGCTCCACAGTTATTGAAAAGATAAACACCTTAGGCTGATGAGTGCATGGGTGGGTCCAAATACAAGGAAGAAATATTTTGATTATAATCAGCAGTCTAGACCTACATCACTGTTGCTCCCATGTTATGAGAAACTTCCGTTTGAGGCAGAGGCGTAGCCAGAAAATTTTTATAAGGGTGTCCAGGCAATAACCAATGGCCCAAAAGTTGATAGGCACCAGAACCTCAGGCTCAATCTACACTGTTCCAACAGGAAAATTAATGAGTGCAACATCCGTATTTTCAAATTAAAGACTAACTATACTTTCCTACAGCCTTTGCTAACAAATAGACGCATATATTTAAACATCCATGGTGTCTAAATTAAAGGTATAGTGGATAAAATTCTTTCAGGTTTGAGATCTGGGGCAAAAATTTTTATTGTCTTTTATCAATAATCCTTTGGTATAAAACTGATATTTACATATACTAATATCTCCATGAATTGATTATTTCATATGTTTTTATTAAAATGCTTATTATGATTAAAATGAAATTATGATTTCACTGAAGATTCCTAGATGACTTGCAGAGACACATTATATTCTCCTTACCCCATATTACTAAAAATCTAGTTATGGAAAGAGCATCATTTCTGTATTTATCATCTTTAATGATAGTATATTGATGTGCATAAATAACCATAGTGTTTTTGTTGTCAAATAATTGTTAATATATGAAAAATTAAATTGTTTTGAATATTCCACTTGAGATTATTATTGCTGCCATCTGTATTAGAGGGAAGAAATGGTAGGGTGGCCACAGGGGTGGCCAATTAAGGGTGACCATGGCCACCCCTGGCCCCCCATCTAGCTCTGCCCCTGCCCTTAAACAAGAGAAAATGTATTTCAAAAAAATTAGTCTTTCAAAGATTGTTTTTTATTTTCTATGTATGATATAGAAATAATAATGATAATTTGGGTCAACTACTTAGCAATAGTAATAATGATATTAACAATATTTTATTTAAAATAAATATATAATTTTGTAAAAGAAAAGTTAATTTGTTAATAGTTTATTAATGGGTATTGTTAAAGGAAAGCTCTGTGTCTGCACCTTGAAGCTTTCTCTGTCCGGTTAGTTTTCCTACAAAAGATCACTCGGGACAAAATCTTTAAATAACACTTCATAATGTATTAAATAGCCATGAGATATGACAAAAGATTTTGATTTTAATTGTAATCTTACTCAGATCAGAGAAGTTGCTTAAGAATACAGAAGGCAGCTGCTCACCAACCACGCTCACTTAGTGGGAAATGGCCACGATTAAGAGTTAAAGAAGCATTTTATACATCTCCAGTCTGCCACATAATCACATTTTACATTAAACACGTTTGTAGATGAGGAGACATCCATCACGGCTCCAGTCTTATCAAAATATTACACTTTGTTCTTAGCTGAAGGACACCGTATTCATTCCATTCCCAAATCTTTGCCACGTAAAAAATGAAGATTATAACTGTATATAGCTGGACCGTGGAACTGGCCTAATTAAAATAACTACTGGGGAAATTATCAGTTCTGACACGCAACCAGCAGTTAATATTAAGGTGTAATAAAATCACACATAATCAATAATAATTATCCTAACAGTATTTTTTGTAGAGAAAACCCAAAGCTCATGTTCATATAAAAATATTACAAAAAATCTATAAATATTATTGCAAACTATCGAGCTTCTGCAAAGTTTATATCCTGCTACTCAATATTTTGCTGTCTTTTGACATGAAATAAATGCATTGCGGCATGGAGGGGATCAGCTGCAATTCTACTGAGGTTTAATGGAAGCCTCTTTGATTGATGTTGATGTTGCTTTGATTCAATTTCAGTAAATTCAATTAAGTTTATTTATGTATCATCAATTCACAACACATGTCATCTCAAGGTACTTTACAGGGTCAATTCAACCAGATCATACAGTCAGATTGGTTAAAGTTTTCTATCTCAGGAAACGAGCTGATTGCATTGCATAGGCAATCGCTCTCACCAAGCATGCTTGTAGTGACAGTGTAGAGGAAAACTCCTTTTTTAACAGGACGAAACCTCCAGCAGAAGCAGGCTTAGTGTGAGCAGCCATCTGCCGATTCCAACTGGGGTTCAAGGAGACAGAAGCATTCATAAAGAAGTAAAGATACAAAAGGTAACTGTTAACCTTCTCCACAGGCGGCCCCGTCAGGAAACAAACAGCCAGGTAGACGAGCTCTGAGCCAGCTCCCATGTCAGAGGATGAAAGAGAGCACATACAGTTAGTCACAGTCAGAGAAACAGGACTACACTGGAAAATAGGCCAAGCTCCTCATCTATAAAGAAAAGTGTTGATGGCATGAACACAGTTGAAATTTCTCTCCAGGATAGTGTCACAGCCAAAGAGGAACAAACCGGATGAAGCTTATATGATGAGAAAAGGAAAAGAGAGCATAACGTTAGAGATTAAACTAATAAATATTAAAGAGTAGGAGAACAGAGATAGAATGAAGTAGTCATGAAATAGGGTGCCTTCCAGCAGTCTAAGCCTATAGCAGCATAACTATAGAGATAGCTCAGGATAATGTGAGCCACTCTAACTATAAGCTTTATCAAAAAGTAACGTTTTAACACTAGCCTTAAAAGTAGACAGGGTGTCTGCCTCACGGTCCATGCACTGTAGGAATAATCTGATATAAGACAGAGCTTGGCCATTTAAGGCTTTGATCGCTGTTATATGGGCTGAATACTTGATATATTTCACTTTCTGGAGAAAACAATATGACTGTCAATTTCTGAAATGTCAAAAAAATATAACTTTTTATACCCTCATTAAACTGTAAATTATAACATTATTATTATTATTATTATTATTATTATTATTGTTGTTGTTGTTGTTGTCGTCGTTGTTGTTGTTGTTAAGCGCTTGATGTTATTTGGGATGACTTGTTGTTATCCAAACACAACAGCAAGCGCATTTGAAGTAAGGCTATTTTTGTAGCCTATCACTTTATATTGAATTAACCATGAAAAATGTTAATCATTTTACCTTTAGTTTTTCTTAAATTTGGTAAATGTTTCCGAGCAGCCATCCTGGTTGTCAGTGTGAACCTCTAAGCAAAGGAGCGCATGCCTCAGTGTCCAACAGAGGAGGAGCAGGTTTTGAATTACAAGCCGCCCATTCCCCATCTCCCCCCACTCCCCCCACCCCCAACACAGACTCTGCATTGAACAGAGGAAACGGAAAAGACGAAACATAGCCTGCAAGAAGGTTTGTCATTTCAAAACCCAGAGGCTGTGGAAAGAGCACAGACGCCCTCTTTATTCCCACAGCCTGGCTGCTTTTATTGGACTTTACGCACTCCGCTAAAAAGTTCCACTTCCACTTTTTAAACCATCTTTTCTCCAGCTGCAAACAGCTGGAGAGAAGACATCCGCCCTGTTTAGAGAGAGAGAGGAAGCTTGAGTGTGAGCGGAGAAAGGAGCAGAGGACAGAGAGAGGAATGGAAGGCCAACCATCCCAGGTGAGGAAAAACATCTCCAAATTCCTCAGGAGTTTCCTTGGAATCATCCGGATCCTGCAGATCGTTTTCGGAGCCGGACTGTGGATCACAGTCGCTGCCAACAAGTACGAAGGCTCCATCCACTTTGTCCTGTTCGTCGCTGTCCTCTTCTGGCTCCTCACCCTCGCCCTGTTCTTCATCACCCTCCTGGACAAGCAGGACCTCGTTCCTTTGCTGGGAGGAGAGCGCTGGTTGCGCACCAACCTGACGCACGACGTGGTCGCCACTGTGCTTTACCTGTCGGCCATAGGAATCATGATTTATAAGACTCGTACCAACTCCTACTGCAATCTGGAGCAGTATCAGCACTACTGTCTGTTCAAGGTCTACCTGACAGCGGCTGTGTTCGCCTGCCTGTGCTGCCTGACCTACCTCTTATCGGTCATCTATGGAGGATACAGGAGGAGCCGAGGAGAACAAACTGTCATCTGATGACACTGATTCTGGGGATGGAAGAGGAGTATCCATTGCAAGATGAGGAATAGTCCCCTTCACTGTAATTCAACTCAAGACCACCCCTACTGTCTCCCATTGCTGCTTGAAAGCAGCTACAGGTAGAATCCAGGAATACAAATAGAAGATGTCACATAATGTGTGGATGGTTTCTTCCATTTCTAACCTAAAAAATAATTAAATCAGGATTTTGTAAGATAAAAAAAAATTTCACAGCTACATCCCTAATACACATTTTTACTTAGCCTTACATCCTAAGGACGTTGCCAGTTGCCATTTTTATATATTTTTTATCTTTTGTATTTACGCCTTTTTGTAAGCTGATATCCATGGATAAAAAGACTCAGCTGTTTTTGTTTCGTCTTTAACTCAAACATCCAGTTTTAACTTCTGTCAGAATGCTGTTCAAAGATGAGACAGTATCAACCTCTTTTCACATGGATGTAAACGGTGCTGCAACATGTTTTGCTGAAAATATATACTCCTTATATAATTTTAAAGAGCAGGAATAAACACGACTTGGTTGAGAATATGTTTCTGAATAATGTCAATGCAAAGTATTCAATGTTAGTGCTTCAGTACATCCTTTTATTGTTCCAGGTGTTTCTATAAATCTGTACTCTCAGGGAGGTTAACTCCAAAGATGTATTAAAATAAAAAAGAATTAAAAAAAATAAAAATAGACAGATGAAAAATAATTGCAAGGAGTCCATCCATCTTCTCCAGCTTATTCCGTCAGGGTCCCATAGGGCTGTTGCCTATCACCGGTGGTCTATGGACAAGAGTTGGGGTACAACCTGGACAGGTTGCCACTCTGTCGCAGGGGAACACAGAAGCACACAAAAATTCACACAACCATGCACACACACACTCACACCTAAGGAAAATTTAGAGATCAACCTAACAGTCATGTTTTTTTTTAATGTGGGAGCAAGCCAGAGTACCTGGAGAGAACCCACACATGCACAGGGAGAACATGCAAACTCCCTGCAGAAAATTGTGCAGCCATTGTCATTTATCATACTTTAGAGCAGAGGTCTTCAACAGGGGGTCCGCGACCCCTAGGGGGGCCACGGAGGTACTGCATGGGGGTCGCGAGTTTTGCTCAATTAGACTTTTTTTTTATATTCCCCTCTGCAATTTTTCCACTAATTGAAATGTCTTTAAATCCACATTAACATGAATTCAACAGACTGTAGTAAACAGATAAATGGAGGCAGAAGATGTCTTTCGGTCATCAATGCACACATTCAGAGACACACAGGAGCTCTTTCAAGCTGGGCACCGTTTCATTCACAACATCTGTCCCATCAACCAGGAATCAGAAATACTTTAATAATCCCAGGGAGGGATTACTTTAGTTACATTACTCCATCTGTAATAGAGTGACTATAGGACCAGTTTGATATCATATAACACAATTTCATACAATATATATAATAATTAGGGGGTCCCCGCTCCATCTCAGCATCAGTCTTGGGGTCCTTAGCCTGGAAAACGTTGAAGACCTCTGCTTAAGAGAACTCACTGTAAGATATTATATTTCCTAGTTTTGTTGGAACAGTTTTCAAACTATTGGGTGTCCTGTTGAAGAAAACTCATGGGAGGGCCCCTCTTCTTAGCCTGTGCCTCTTTGACCTGGGGGCTGCTGCTTCTGTGCTTCAAAGACCACCTACCTACCCATGGCTGCACTGGAGTGATGCCTTGGGGCTACCATGACCCTCCAAAGCCATGCCTACCTTGCCCTATGCTGCTTTCGGCTGCTGACTGTTGCAAGCATTAACACACCAATGTGTTGATATATAAGTAATCGCATGTTGTCTAATCTGATGTTAGATGCAGTGTTTTTTGTCTTTTAGAAAATGCATTTACAGCAAAAATGGAAAGTGAATGCAGAAAAGGTACATTTTCTGACTGAAAATTGTTGGAAAAGTTGAAATCAACAGAAAAAAAATAGAAATTCTTAGTAATGGAAAAACAAAACGGTCTGATCATATATCCTCCAAAAGTGTCACCTAAAAAGAGCCAAACAACCATATTTTTAAAACTTGTTGACAAGTGGAATATCAACAATATTTTCAAATTTCTTAAATTTAATTTGAATAATATTAGAATCAGATAAAAAAAAAAATTATAAGCCGTTTGACCATATTTTGAACACATGCAGCTCATCTTCATTTAGAGCAAGGTTGTGTTGGCATGATTTGGTGCATAACTATCCAGTAAAATCCAGTACTGCCGCTGCTTGCTGTTTTGTTATATCAAACTTTTTTTTTCTTCTAAAAAGTAATGTGAGGATGAAACAGCTAAAGAAAGAAAAAATTATTTGACACAATTTAAAAGTAAAGGACTTGATTCTCTGAGGTGCACTGTAGGTGTTGCAATCACTTTGGCACATGGCTGTTTCAGTTTTGGTCATTTCATACCTATCATCTTCTACAGCAGGTGGTGTGAACTCATCTTGTGTTAATTTTAACCCCCTAGCAGGATGTTTCTTTTTTTTTTTTATCTCTCTTGACATGTGAATGGTTTCAAATAGTTTTCAATACTTATAGTCCACTGTAAGAAAATAGAGTTTTATGACTTCATTAAATAAGATTTGTGAGTTGGTCACCCTGCGCTGCCCCAGTTTGATCAGGGGCCAAAAACCATCATCATTTTTTAAGTCCCAAACAGAAACATACAAAAAGAACTGGAATATAGTGTAAAAAAATTTTTTTTTATTAACTGTACAAAGATTTCCAAAAAAAAAAAAAATTGCTCCAGGATGTATAAAAACACTGAGCTACAATACAAAAAAAATATATTTTCTATGGTTAATTAAATACATAAATATGATTTTTAAGTATGAATAAGAAATAGAAATAAGTAACAAAAGTTTTAAAAAATACGGATAAAATGGGGTATGTATGAACTTACACAGAAACGTTCACCAAAATTAAAGCTAGCTGTACCAAAGGCTTTCTTAGATTAAAGAAAGAAAGGTCTACTGTTATCTGTTGGCTGTTGTTGTGATTCTGTTTGTGGATCTAAATGTTTACAGCTGCTTATGAAAAGCTTCAAAAAAGTCTAGTTTTTGTTTTTTGTTGTCCTTTTTTAATAAAGGATTGGTATTACCAATCAGTGATAGTGTAGAAAATGAGACTCTGTCGCGCAGGCATCGGACAAATATATGCATATAATGCATGAGTAAGAATGTGTGTCCTTCCTTCAAAATAATCTGGAAGGAGGCTTGTTCTTACAGGAACTGTCTGTTGGGGTTCTGGAAATCGGCTAAAGCTTCAGCCAATGAAAATAAAGCCAAGTATAGATGATTCAGTGCCTCATCTGTTCAAGTCAGCATACGGCTACTAGGCAGGGTCTAATTATGACTTATATGATCAACACATCACTGTAGCGTTAAATCTTCATATCAATAAAGCTAAATTAGTTCTAGTTATATAAATATCAGCATTTCTTTCAAATGCGTTTGCAAGCTAGATTAAGAATAGAAAGCAAAAAAAAAAAAATGACATCCAGACATGTCGAGTAACACTTTAGAAAAATAGCATCAAAAGGAAAACACATTGTTACAGGTACTGACTCACAAGGAGAACTGCAGACTTTATGATCTGAATCTAACCTGAGTTAGAGTGGTGCTGGGGGTTAATGTTAACCAGCTGCAGAACAGCGACAGAAACGTCTAAAGAGTAAAATGAGCTTCCCCACCCACCCTTCTCCCTGTGGAGAGTTCTGCAAAAATGTTATCTGGTCCACGTGTCACTGCCTACAAAAACACAACTGATGTAACTGAGAGTAACCAAAGAAAACAGTTGAAGACTTATTCAACATGAAATTATTCTAACAATTCAAACTTGAGAAAGATCTGTATTTGACTACATGATGTTTTTTTTTTGTTTTTTTTATTAATATACCCCCCAGTGTTTAGGAATGCTAATGAAAAAGATACATTTTAAGCATTCATATGTTTACATGTTTGTAGCGCCACAGTTTTATGCACAACAAAAAGGCATTAAAAAGCACAGGTATTAGGGCATGTGGACACAGGCATAACTATGGAGTGCCAACTGTAGGATTTCTTTTGGCTGGTCATCCGAACAAGACATTTCCTGTACGGGCGCCCCCACCCATCTGCAAGAGACCAAGAGTTGCTATATCCCTTAACCCTTTACTGTTGTCTTTTAAACTACAACCCCACAGTTCAGACCAAAATCATTGATATTTCTGGAAGACTTTATTGGTTAAGCGTCTTGACACAAATCTTATGAAACATCTGTTGTGGGAGTAAGCTCTTAGAATGATTAGAGTTAAATTTCTGAATAAAACATAAATAATCCAAATGATGCTCAGAAACCATGAAAAGAGTTGGAATACCTCAGTGCTAATAATAATCTAGTTTATAATGCAAGCACACTTTTTGGTTGATTAAAAATAAATTCTAAATTAATATCTGCCAGGGTTATTAAATCCTAAAATGGAAAGTAAAAAATGTCTCTTTATATGTCTGCTATTGAATTATGGTAGCTATATAAGTAAACTTGCTTTGCCTTTCTTTGCCTTATTGATGAAGCTGAAAAAACAAAAACAAAAAATGTAATTTCAGTCCAACTTGGTCAAACTGAGAAACTAAGTAGACAATTGTTTGCAATTAAAAAAATCTCTCCCTTAAATGACCAGAATCTATAGAAATCCGTTTTGAAGAGTTATAACTGTTTTTATTTATTTTTATATTTGTATTTTTCATTATAAAATGCTAACTATTGTGTTTTTTTAGATAGACAATTTTAAGATCTGCCCAGGGACAACAGATGAAAAATAACCTTTTTGCTAATTCTGGTGCATTTGTAGGAATGCTTTTTATTGTACACTGTCCCTGTTAAATAAATAAATTAATTAAATCTTTTTTTTTTTTTTTTTAACTTCAGAATTTCCCGCAGAAATATATTTCTGACTTAAATCCTTTCAGCAGCTCTGTAGGTCTCTGGAAGCCTCTGTTATATACCTTCTACCAAGATGAGAATCTCCTGTTGGAAGTGGTTCACTTTGTCACCATGTTCTCCTTTTTTTGTTTTCTTTCTGTCTGGCCAAATCATTAACACATTTCCACGTGAAAGAAGGAAACAAAGACGCCAACACAGCAGTGCCCTTTTTAACCACACGTTTAGCAGCTACTGCTGAGAAACACATTCCACTGACAAGGAGATGCAGAGAGAGCGAGAGAAACCACATGAAGGAAGGCTGAACAAGTGAATGAGGAGGAGAAAAAATGCAGGAATAAATAAATGTGTGACATCTTAAAACAGAAACCTGAGATCCACGTTTCCTGTCTGTTTGAGGCTTTAATCAGTCAGAGCATTGTTTGTCTCTGATACTACATATTATAGCCCCGCAACCACCTCAATTACATGCAAGAGAACCATAAACATCTGTTAGAGCAGCTTTTGGAAAAGCCATAACTCTGAATGGGCCTTGTGTCTGTGTGTTGTGTAAGGGCAGTCAGTGGTGGGAACTGGTGATTGCTATTTATAGAGCTTTGAAAATACCACCACTTCCTTTAATCTGCCAGTCTTCAGCCAAGTGTTCAAGAAGAATGTATTCAAGAAAGAATGAGTCTAAAAAGCTAAAGGCAAAAGGGAATGGCTCTTTAAAATTACTAATTTCTTTCTTCATATTTGAAAGTTCCTGAAATGTTGGGATCTGCTTGTTGCTCCTTTACTTACCAGTTATAAAATGTTGACCTTATTAAAAGATGGCATCTGCGCAAACAACTGTTAAATTTTCATTAGATTTTTAATGAGTGCTTGCTGTTGTTTCCTGTGTTTTGGTTACTAACACAAAAAAATGTCTCCAAGTGTTGATGATGGCGCTCTTTATAACAACTAACAGGGCTGTTAACTGTTTCCCAGCCAGCTTTCCCATCAGTTTTAAGCAACAATAGGTAAATCCTCATTAGACAGCAATCAACTCTTATGGACAAAGGCAGTCCATAGAGAAATATCTAAATAATAACACATACTGGTTTGAAAAAATATATATTTCTGAAAAGAATCGAGGTAAAAATATCAGGCAGTTTGTTTCCTGAATCTTTTCTATCTTGTATTATAGAAACAATAAAGGTGTTCAAAATGTATAACATTTTACTTCTACTTTTTATTTGCAATTATTCGTCCACACACCAGATGGCGCCATTCTGACTGTAATGGTATTTTCTCTCATATTTTGTTCTTTACTGCTCTTGGGCACTAAGATGTTTCAAGTAAGAAAAGATCATTTAGATCAGACAAATACAGCCTAGGTAAATATAATAAGAGTTTTAACAAGTTTTTAAATGATCACTTCATTTATTAAGATGAAAAACATTTTTTTTATATAGTAATATCCATCTGTATATTATATTCGGTACATATTCAGCTGTAAATTTAGTTCATAACACTAGTGATCTATATATTATATTCATTATTTATAATAGTATTCATCTCTATACTCATTCAGTAGAAATACCCACGTCCTGTATTTACTGAACCATTATTTATCCTGCACTTGCTGCTTTTGCACTTCTGGTTAGGCCTAAACTGCATTTCGTTGCCATGTACCTGTACATGTGTAATGACAATAAAGTTGAATCTAATCTAATCTAATCTAATCTAATGAAAAAAAAAAAAATCTTTGAAAACCAACCTAGATTAATACTGGTATGGATATAAATCTCCTGTTTAAGGCCCCAACACATCTTAATCAGATCTCTTTCAGTCTCCGAAAACCACTTAAATTAATATTAAGCATTATATATGTGCAAGAGCATGTAACAATCTGTCAATTGCATGAAAACATTATCCTCCACCCCAAACATTAACATTTAGAAAGCTAAACAACCTGCAGGATAGCTGTACAAAGCAAGGACATTTTCAAGATCCCAGCTTCCTCTAGTCTACCAGCAAAAGACTAAACACTTAAAGCTTACTTATAGTATTGTAAAAACACTTTACAGTATGGTATTTTATTTTTTTATTTTTTTTAACTCTTCACAATTTTGTTATTTTTATACAGTTTTCTAAGGTCCACACTTGTGTGACAACGTTTACTATAATCAAGTTTCCCCATTGTGGGACAGTAAAGGGATTTTTTATCCTATTCTTCCATTCTCTGTTTAATGGAGCTGAAAAAAATCTTATGATCATCTTGAAGTGATAGATTCAAATCTAATTTATTTCTTTATTTTTTTGCTCTCTTCACTATTCTCAGAGTTATTGTTAGAGTGTTTGAGATAAAATGAGATATGACGACAGAACAGCTTTGTACTTAAGAGTACAGCAGCTAAATTGGACATGCTGAAAACCACTCTCTTTATTACATTGAGTCATTAACATTTTTTGTTATATATTGGCAGCAATCTTTCATTGAAATCAGAATACTCTTCTTTTTTTTTTACTTCAAGCATTATTATTCATAGATAGACAGACAGACAGACGGACGGACGGACGGACGGACGGATAGATAGATAGATAGATAGATAGATAGATAGATAGATAGATAGATAGATAGATAGATAGATAGATAGATAGATAGATAGATAGATAGATAGATAGATAGATAGATAGATAGATAGATAGATATCTGTACCCGTTTAGAGATGACAATACAGTACAAAATGAAGGTCACTGAGTGGATAACGCCCTTCACTGCTATTGGTTGAAAGGGTCTTTTCGACGGAATCTCATTGGCTGTCAAAACCAGGAAGTAGGACGACAGCCAATCCCTAAGATAAAAGTGTTTGAGAGCTAGCTTCTGGCCTGTGTGCCTCTCTGAGCTGTTAGCCTGCTGTCCGTCACCATCACCAGCATCAGTTGTAATTTGACCAAATAATTTTAACCTTAAGGAGCAGCTCTGTATTAAACATGGCCTACAAACTAGTGCTGATTCGTCATGGAGAAAGCAACTGGAACCAGGAGAATCGTTTCTGCGGCTGGTTCGACGCTGACTTGAGTGAAACAGGAGAGAAGGAGGCAAAGAGAGGAGGACAGGCTCTGAAAGGTGAGGTTCTGATGCCTGCAGGGATCTAAACATGAATCTGAGCTTCATCGCTTCTTCTAAAAGGCACCAGGCCCTGCTAAAGGCTCTGTGGCTGCAGGGATTTCACTGATACACTATTCAAGGTTGTAGACATGTTGGTTTTTTTGCCACAATATATAAACTACATTACAAGATCATCAGGTTACAAGATGGCTACAACTATGAATGAATCATTTATCAGACACTAAAGGAGAAAACGGATTTCTGTCATAGATTTAAGAAGATGAACTGTTTTATGTTCTCATGTCAGGAACTAAATCAAACATAATTTCAAGTAATATATTTCTATCACTCTTGATTGAAAATACCATTTGCAGCCCTCATTGTTTTGCTGTAATAATTTGATACTCATAATATTGGCTTCATGCCTTAGAAATAAGTCTTAAAATATATGTTTCATGTTGCTTTAATAGCACAATGAGATTTTTTTAATTATTTTTTTTTTTTCTCTAGCCATTCAAATTTTAATTCCCAGTAGAAATTGCTGCACAGTCAGCAGTTAGAACAAAAGCACAATAGCCTGTTCAGCAACAATCTTTCAACAAACAAACTGGGATTAGAGGGCTGGAATTTAGAATAAAAGACAAGACCAGCTGCAAATAACCTTTTTTGTTTGTTTGTTTGTTTGTTTGTTTGTTTGTTATAGTATATGTGTGTGATTGTAGGTGTTGGTATGTGTGTATGTCAGGTATAAATGAATGTGTGTATGAGTATTTAGGTGTATTTGTTGATTGGATGGCTGCTCAGTAAAACAGTGGGTAGCACTGCTGCCTTGCAGCAAGAAGGTTCTGGGTTTGATTTTCTGGCAGGGCTCTTTCTGCATGGAGTTTTGCATGTTCTCCCTGAGCATGCGTGGGTTCTCTCCAGGTACTCCTGCTTCCTTCCACAGTCCAAAAACATGACTGTTAGGTTAATTGGCTTCTCTAAATTCTCCTTAGGTGTGAGTCTGGGTGAATGTTGTTTGCCTGCATCATTGGTGTCCTTTGATGTTCCCTCCTCTTGTTTTAATGCAATGCACCTGCTGTATTGCTGTAAATGTCAAAAACTTCAATAAAGAGTTAAAACAAACAAAGAAAACCAGATTAGTGTTATTGGTTATTATATAGAATCTGATTTGGTCTAAATTTTCAAGTTTTGTTACAGTTTTATCTACATCATTCAGCCAGATTTCTACTATTAATTGCATTCCAAATATGTCTTACTGAGACCTAGAGCTGCAACTAACAATTATTTCACCAATTAATTAATCTTTCAATTATTTTTTTGATTAATTGATTAATAATGGGATAACCAAAGGTTCCTTAAAGAAGATTTTTTACAAGATTAAACCAGGTAAAACAAAAATATTTCCACTTGAGGAGTTCTGGATAGAGCATATTGACAGGTAAAACCTTTTTTTTTTTTTTTTTTATCTTAAATGCAAACTGTTTACACATTTGTTTTACAATTTGGATATAATTGCTGCTCTAAGTGAGTCACTCTGTCAGCTAAAGGCATGTTTTACAGTCTCTTTAATCCAGTTAATGATTGATCGATTTGTAAAATAGTTGACGATTATTTAAGTAATCGATTAATCACCATTAATCCGATTTTTTTTTGCCCTGCTGAGTACACAAAACAATAACATTTAACTTTTTATATAAATCATTTCTGGAAACTAAGCTACATTAGTTTTAATGACTTCACATATGAAATACACACAGGTGAATTATACTGTTAAAGTTTCTGGTATTGATATCGTAGTTAAACATGTCCTTAATTTGGTTGTGGGCAATTTAAGCCTTTGGATGATTCATTCAGAACAAAGTCCTTATTGTATGGTAGGAATGATGGGAAAATAAGGAAGGCATCTCTATAATAGTCAAAGAAGCACAAGGAGTGTTTAATCTAGAAATGGAGGACGAAGATGGCAGATAACACAAACGCCTGTTAAATGTAGCCAGAGCTCTCATTATTTTTCTTTATCTTTAAGGCAAAGCATCAGTTTAGAGCATTTAGTTATTGTAATCAGTTAGAAATGGTTTAAAAAAGCCCTAATAGAATCTAAAATGTATGGAGACTAATAAAGACATTTGACAGTAGTCCTAAGAGAAGGGGAGATAACATTTTCTTTAATTCATCAGTAAAAAAAATAATATGCATTTAAACTGTTGTTGTGTCTCTATCTACAATTTACAGATGCTGGTTTTGAGTTCGACTTGTGTTACACCTCAGTGTTGAAGCGGGCCATCAGGACCTTGTGGTTCGTCTTGGACAGCATTGATCAGATGTGGGTTCCAGTCCATCGGACCTGGCGGCTCAATGAACGCCACTATGGAGGCCTGACGGGACTGAACAAAGCCGAGACGGCTGCTAAACACGGAGAGGCCCAAGTGAAGATCTGGAGGCGCTCATTTGATATCCCTCCTCCTCCCATGGGCCCAGACCATGACTACTACACTATCATCAGCAAGGTGAGATAGGGTTATCTATAGTACAGATACACTGGAAAGCAGCTTTGTTAGCGTTCAGGTTTTGTATGTGTTGACCAGCTGAAACACTAACATGGAGGCATGACTTGGCCCATTTTCATACCCATTGAAAGAAATATTTGCAATGTTTAAAGGAAAATATTAGATTTAAGGTCTGACACGCAGAGTAGACAATGAAAAATGATAACCACCATTCTGATTGCCTGCAGAACCCTGATCTTATTGCCTAACACCAGTGAGAGTTAATATGTGACTAAGAGTTCAAAGGTCAAAGTTCAGTGATCGTATCTTTTCATGGTCGTGCAGATGTAAAGGTGAGCGTACTGGATCAATGGTTCAACCACTGGTTTTATGTATCTAAAAAGGGAAAACTAAAATGAACTGTTTTATCTATATTTCAGCTATATGCATTACCTTTTAAAAAGTGTTTTATCTGCTAAAAACCACAGAGTAGGGCATGGTTATGATTTAGCATGGTCATTTTCCAGGGGTTTCAAACTTCTCTAAAAACATTAATTTAAAAAAAGTGTTTCCTGAGGAACCTTGTGAATGAATGAATGACAGACTCATGCTTGAACATTGCTTCAGCTCTTTTTTGAGTTTATTCCAGACCTTCACCCCACTGACCAGAATGCACATTATTCTCTTGTAGAACCAACCTCTGCTGCAGCTATTTCTGCAACAAGGATATCGGGAGAAGGATATTTGGAAAACACAAAATTGCAATTTTATTGATGAATTATGCGGCGAGGATGACGCTGATCTCAGTTAATCCTCATCTGCTTTACCCTTGTCTTTTTGTTATAATCATATGACTCATCATCCATCTTAATAAAATCTGCATCACATATGGGAAATCAAGAAAATGAATCCAATTGAAATTTTGAGACCAAGTGCTGCATCAAAACAGTATAGTTCAGTTAGAATGGATGAAGCATTAGAGAGAATCCATTTTCAAGTCTTATAAATAAAAACAAAAAAAACAGAATTTTAATTTGATTAAGGTCTGGACTTAACTGAACAATAATAATACACACGTGTCCTAAACTATTTCACTGTAGCCGTATGTCTAGGGTTGCCATCTTGCTCCAAGGTTGGCCTCCACCTGCTTCTCAATTATTTTCTTCCAGGACTTCCTTTATTTACCTCTATGCATATTTCAGTCAACTTTATTCAGTTTTCTTTTCCTTCCTAAAGAAAAGCATTCCCACAGCATGGTACTGCCTTCACCGTGTATCTTTTGGAGCTTTTGGGGTGATGTGCAGTTTTGCATGTAACATTTATCTCATCTGACCATGGCATTTCTCCCCTTTTTACCCTATATGGTTGTGAAAATCAGTTTCTTATGGCCTCCGCTTATAATAATAATAATGATAAGTGAACTTTATTGATCTCACACTGGAGAAATTTACCTCTGCATTAAACCATCCCCTCAGGGAGCAGTGGGCTGCCATTGTGCAGTGCCCAGGGAGCAGTGTGGGGTTCAGGGTTTTGTGCAGGAACCCAGAGTGCAGGGTGTGGGGATCTTATCGAATAATTGCAACCTTCTCAGAGCACAAGCACACTGCTCTAACCACTAGACCAACACTTCCCAGCTGATCTCCTCTCTCGACTCTTCCATTGAGGCATTGTATGTGTTAGCATAAAACTAATAGCGCTGTCAAGAGATTCTCTCACCTAAGGTGTAGGAATTCTCCAACTATGGTCAGCTTTAGTAAGTGGGTGTGCCTTGGTAGAGTTTCTTAGATTACTGAACCTGCCTCATTTTCAGCCACACTTTGTCACATTTATTGACTTTACCTACTTGTTTCAGATGGCCTTATGTAACCTAGATATATTCAAATATTAGCAAAACCTGGGAGTTCAGAATCTCATGTTTCCATTCAACCTAACATTCCAGTATGGTTTTCATTGCAGGATCGTCGCTATGCAGATCTGACAGAGGAGCAGCTGCCATCGTGCGAGAGCCTTAAGGACACCATTGCACGTGCGCTGCCTTTCTGGAATGAGGAGATTGCCCCTCAGATCAAACAGGGGAAAAGGGTGCTCATTGCTGCCCATGGAAACAGTTTGAGGGGCATTGTGAAGCACCTGGAAGGTAGGTGCTGATCTAACAAAAAAATATTTTCCTAATTATTTTGAATTAGTTTATTTTTGTTTACCTTAAACACAAAATATCAGCAAGTAGTAATAGCGTGGCAACTGCATGCAATAAAATCTTTATTTCTTAATGAGAAGTTGTTTTCTGTGTGGGACGGTCTGTAGGAATGTCAGATGAAGCCATCATGGAACTGAACCTGCCAACTGGAATCCCCATCCTCTACGAGCTCGACAAGAACCTGAAACCAGTGAAGCCTATGCAGTTCCTGGGAGACGAGGAGACTGTACGCAAAGCCATGGAGGCTGTCGCTGCTCAGGGAAAAGCCAAAAAGTAACAAGAAAGGGGGAAAAATGGATCAATTTAAAAATCAGAGTAGCCTATTTAGTATGTGATGGTATAAGTCATTCCTGGAAGCTGACCTCGCATTAGTGTGTTTCTCAAATGCTAATTTATTTTTAAACATGAACTAAATGCTATAGATTGTTGTCCTTGCTTGGTACAGGCAGAGTCATAGAAACAGATGGATGTTGTTCAGTGAAATAGTAGCCACAGCTCCAATTATTAGTAGATTTCATTGACTTAAGAAGACGGACATTTATCCTTAAGCTATAAACTAACGTTAACCACGATAAAAAAGGTCAAACTCAACACCCAATATTTGATTCTCCATACGTTTTCAATAATGTGGGGATAAAAAAAAAGACAATTCTATTTAAATTAGTAGGCAAATAAATGCAAAATAATAACCCAAATAGAATTAATGCAATTTAACAATAGGTGAAATGCGACAACAGCCCTACAAAATTTGTGTTGTTTTGGTCTGCAATGCAGTTTTCAACAACCAAGATGTTTCCTCCTCATTTTGTTTTAAGTCTCTGCTTTAATGTCAGCCGATTGGTCTATCGTGTCCATTGCCTGTTTGCTACATGGGAAAGAGTGGTGATGCATTGCATTATGAAACCTTTAAATTTGTGCATTTCTTTGCTCAGTTTTGAAGTGTTCAATATAAAATAATGGTAATACTTCATTTTGCAATCTCTTGAGAGTCAGGCAGAAAATTTAAAACGTCCGTTTTTTCTTTTTACCGCATGTCTTCAAGCTGTGTGTCGTTTTCAGCTTTGTCGTCCGTGTTTGTGTTTGGATTTTTTTTGTCTGATACCTCTTTGCAAGTTTTGCACTGTCTAGAAAAATAACTTTATTTTGGGAAGGGTCCTCCATGTTACAGTGTTCAAAATGGACAAAGAGTCTCAAACTATATTGTTTTTTTTGCGTATATTCATGATATTTAGTCTGTTAATGGTTCTGTGTGCCTTCCACCCTGTCCTTCAAATTCAATTCCTTCTGTGTTCCTGAAATGTAATGAAAGCTCTGAACTAATAAAAAGGAAGTGTGGGAAAATTTTGCCCCATGTTGGCTTACCTTGTCTTGCTGGAAAATGCTTTGTAGAGAAAGTGGCATTAAATGTAAATATTGTTGGGAAAGTGTTTTAGGGCAATGTGCAGTTGTGCAAGCATGCAGGAGTACCATAGAAAAACCTAATTATATTCTTAAGTTAGCTAAACTGTAGGGAGTTGAAGTTATCTTTTTTTTTTTTTTCCAATTCTGTCCAATATTCTGTATGTGTAAATACCTCAGCCAGTATGTTCTGCATTGAGAATCAGAACAGAATCCATAAAAAGGTTAATACGGAGATCCTGTTTTCTGGTTCAAAGTACAAATGGAGTCTATTTCAAAGGAACAATATTTTAAATATAGTCGTGTGTATATATATATATATATATATATATATATATATATATATATATATATATATTTAAGTATAGTCTTTCGCAAGAATGTCAATTTAACTAAACATGTTTGAATAAAAATGACTTTTTGAAATCCTAAATGGAGTTAAAATTCTGAAGTAAATTTCTATATGAGAGTTTCCTCAAAGAATAGGATTTTTTGCACATCAGGAAATTTGAAGTGGTAGTTGTTTGCTACTAAACAAAACCAATACACTCTTGAAAAATACATTTCAAACTCAAATTGAATGGATACCTGCATAGAAGTTTTATTATCAATACCAACACAAAAAGATGGCTTTTTTCAGTATTTACATTATTAAACTTGTATATCATTAACAATTTCTATTTTCATTTTTTTTTTGCACAGTAGTTTTGTCTCTACAAAGAATAAGTACTGCATTAGCAAATACAATAAAAAAAAAAAAAACAGTTTGGGCAACATGGAAAACCCTCTTAAGCAAAACATGCTTGAATTGGACTCATCTTTCACACTCGGTTTGTGTGACAATAATAAGGCAGAATCCAGGACTTCTAAAAGAAAAGACAAACAGCTGAATGCAGGAGGTTAGAAACTGGACTCCAGGATCAATATAACATTTATAAAGAGAGACGCATACAAAACCTGCAACTAAAACCATTTTCCCTCTCTGAGATCATTAAAAACAAATAATGCGTGTGTCTAATTAACTAAAATGTTAAATATATATTTTTTATTATCCATCAGACCCTAAGAACAGAAATGATCAAACCGCTGTTAAAAAAACAATAACTTGGAAAAGCTGCCAATGCAGAACTCCATGTTTAAATCAAACCTCTCCTTCATCAGTTAGATTATTGAAAAAGCTGTGCAACAGCTAAACACCTTCCTAAAAAATAACCAGCCGCTTTCTCCCACTTAGGCTTCTGTGCGCACAATCATACAGAGACCGCCCTGATTAAGGTGTTTAATGTCTGCAATAATACAGACTGTGGAAGAACCACGGTGCTGGTACTATTAGACCTAAATGCAGCGCCTGGAAAACTGGGTCCATTTTTGTGGTATAGCACTTGACTGTTTAAATCCTACTTGAAGAAAAGGTACTTTTTCTTCAGTAGGTAAATAATTTATATCCCAGTCCACAGAAATTATATGTGGCTTTCTCCAAGGGCTCCTCCCATTCAATATCTACATGCCCCCCTAACTCAGATTGTAACAAACAACAACATAAGTTAACATAACTATGCAAGCAACTCACAGATGTGCATTAAAATATCACCAGGAGACTATGAACCCATTCAAGCACTGGATAAATGCAAAGAAGAAATCGATGCAAGTTTTGTATAACTAAATCACACCAAAACTATAGTCATCATTTCTGGGCCAAAGAAAGAGCATCCAGTTAATACAACTAGTACTGTATACTGTGTAAATCCCCCCCCCACCCCCCCCCCCCCCCCCCCCCCCCACCCCCCCCCCCACCCTCATGCACCTTTTCTTCCTTTGGGTCCTTATTCTTATTTTTGCCTATTTGAGCAGATGTCACAAGTTCAGGTGAATGAATGTAGTGTAAAGCGCTTTGGTCAAGTCTCCTAACTTGAATAAAGGCTCTATATAAGTACATACCATTTACCATTTACCATTTCTCCACTGTGAGATCAATAAAGTTAATCAATCAGTCAATTGGAAATTATCAATCAGGCTTGAAATCTATATCTATCTAATAGAGTAGTAATGGTAGTAGAGTAATAAAGTCAGCCTTTAATAATTAAAAGAACGGATTAAGTGTTCAAATTCTAGTTCGTCCTTAATTAGTTTACAGTATAATCATTCAGAAAGTAAGCCAGATATTTTAATAGAAATTCAATGGACACCATATAGAATACATATGATGGGTTTAATGATTAATGTTGTATGTTAAAGGAAATGAACAGGTAGATAGGGCAGCAAAGGAAACTGTTAAACATTTTTACTGTGGATTTAATTGTAATTTTTAGTAAATCGGATTTAATAAAAATTAAACAGAAAATAATGAATAAAGGGTAAAACGACTGGGAGAATGAAAAAAGAAGACATTGGTTTTACAAAATTCAAAAGAAAACTGGAGAAATGAGAAGAACAGGAAGAACAAGAAGAGAAGGAACAATAATTTCTCGTTTGAGATTTGAGCATACTGGATTAAACATTACTCTGTTTATTATAGGGAAATGTAAATACTGTGGAGTAGATGAAAGAATTGAACATGTCATGTACTGTAGGAGGAGAGACAGCAGTTGATTATACATTTAAATAAAGTAAAAGTTAGATTTATTTGAATTATTTTAAGTGATTCACAAAGCAACATTTACAGGATAAAATTTCGCTATTTTAAAATTATACAGTACAAAAAAATTTATAACAGAATTTAATTCCTGAAAGTCATGCTGGTCCACACTCCATACCAGTAGGTGGCGGAAATGCATATATTCGTTGTTTGCCGACCGCTAATTTTTTTAAAGATAAAGAAGTTTTTTTTTTTTAAACAACTTTATTTGGAACAGTAACAATGACAAACTTAAATAAGCATAGTCAATCATACCTCCTAACATTTTTCTTAATATTCTTTTTCTTTTCTTTCAAGTTGCGAGGTAAACAGATGTTAAGTTTATGCAATACACTTTAAAAAGAGAGAAAAAAAATCGAAAATCAATATAACTGAATTAATGAAATATAAATGAATAAATAAAAATAATAAAAAGTACAAAACACAAACACAGACAAAGAAAATAAAAAAGGAAAGACAAAAAAAATGTATTTCCTTATATTTTGATAGGAGCTCAAATTTTAGGAACTTTTACATATTTATTTGGTCTTTCTTTTCATAGTTATCCATACATTTCCTTCTAACAAGTCCAGGGTATGTCTCTTTTGCTAAATGTTGTCTTAAAAACGTATTATTACATTTTTTGTTTAGTAAATCTAAACCATTTATTACAATATTCTGTAATTTAATCACTTGCTTGGTATCATAATTGTTTTTTATGAGCTGAATAAATACATTTGGTATTATTTTCATCATTTTTCATAATCATTTTTTGTACAGATTAGATTATACTTATGAATTAAATCTTCATATGCATATGTATTGCCAATATCAAGCAATAAATGACTAAGAAGAAGAAGAAAAGATGAGGAAATAAGGGCGAATGTGATTAAGTATTTATTATGTTGGGTTACATTAAACAGTTTGGAAAATATAATGGTTTTTATTTTATTTTATTTTTTCTGGGGGTGTCTTGTTTCCTGTTTCCTTGTTTAACTCCTTATCAGTTGGTGGCGGTAATGCACTTCTAACTAGTATCCGAACCGCAAAAAAACCTCACAAGAAGAAGAAGAAAAGAGGAGGAAGAAGAAGAAGAAAAAAATAACTTGACAGCAGGCGGGAGGGAAACTTATGATGGAACGACTCTTGTAATGGTGGTCCACTGTCTTGTGCAGCTGTGTGTTATTGACAAATTTTTAAACTCTTGCAACGCAAAATACTTCTGAAAATCAAGGAATTATGCGGTAAAAAATACTCCTGTAGACATTTTTAGTGCAATATATTCTTAGTAACATGGCTAAGGTTTTGTGCGCGTAAACCACTGATTAGCTTAGAATCACTTCCTGAAACGGCGGCTTGTTGTGTTTACGTTTATTAAGCTACTATTTACATGTTTTAAATTTTAAAAGATAATAAAGGTTTAAATAGCATCCGCGGTTCAGTGTAATGGTAACTGTCGCGTTTCTAAACAGATCCGTTTACTTTCAACAGTGCTGCTAGGTGGGCTTTGTGTTCGTTTGTGATTACAAAGTGACCACACTGCGATACAGTTGTTCAGCTCCACTTGACGCTGTTATTGTCCTCTTGTTAAAAAACTTTTCAACGTCTTAATCCGCTTAATTTACTCAGATTGTCGTTTAATGCATCAAACTGGCGTGCTTTGTGTTAAAACTCGGTTTATGTTGCATTGTAGTCTTCCTAATGATCAAACAACAGTTTTTGGACGGATCCAAGAAGAGTTCTTGCTATGTGACTTTCTGTTGGAATATTTGAAGACTGCTAATTGAAGCAAGGTGAGTCATTGGGAACCTCTGACATTGTTAATCTTTTTTTTAGCAAAATTATTTATGTAGTAAATTACATGGACTGGTCACTCGAAGCTAAAAGTTAAAATTTAACCTTTATTTTCTTCTTTGAATTTTATTTTATTTTTTCATGTTAGACGTTAAAAACTGTTTTCATATAGTCTAATCTGAGGTACCTGACTAATAAAACATGTTAGATGTGGGGTGATTCTCCTTGCTGAATCTATTATCAACTCTTATTGGTCCTCTTCGAGTCCCTGAAACAGGAACCTTTATTTTGGCCTAGACATGATCATAGGCTAAGCTGAATAGAAAACCCACATATAAGCATATTTATGCTAAATTTCTCTGAGAATAAATAGACCGAAAACTGAACCAAACAAGGAAAACATAAATCTATTCACTCAGGCTGCTTTATTCACTGATTGCTTTGAATCACCTCCGCAGCTTCTCTGAGGAGGAAACTTCTATGCAGAGTCCTGCATGATTTTATAAGCAAACAAAGATATTCTTTTTCTTCTTTCTCATCATGTTGTTGGAAAAATCCAAATGGGTATTCACTCAGTCAGATTTACACCTGCACTCTCCAGCACTGTGAATGGGGCCATTGTTTCCCTGGAAGTGTTCACATGGACAAAAACATGTTAGATATTGAAAAGGGATGACACCCAGCCCGCTTGTATGTGCCGTGAACTTCTGTCTATCTGATAGGATAGTTATAATGCTTTGACAAGAATTAATATCATGTTAAATGAGCAACAATCCCAGATTTTCTATTTCATCCTAAGCTTTTTTTTTTTTTTACTTTCCATCTAATAAAGGTAAATTCCTCGAAATTACCAAGATTATTTGAGTTCATTGACATGGTTAGAACACAAATTGGGGAAGAAAAAAAAAATGAACAAGAACATTACCGTGGTAAAATAAAGGCACAAAGGAAAAGCTGAGACACAAACTTTAATGATGTTTCAGATCAGTTTAAAACACATGGTCAAAGGCAAATCTAAACAAATAGTTGTTTTTGGTTTTTTTTGTTTTGTTTTTTTTTTTCCCCCAGATTAGTGGCGCATAAGAACTAAATGTGGCTTCTCCATGTCTGGTTGTGGTTCTTGGTGTGTAGACTTGAACCAGTGGAGCTGAGAGATCCGGATAGTTGATACACTGACAACTTTTTGAAGTTCTTTCTCTGATATGGGGAGCCAGTGTAATGGCTCTAGAACCAGGGTTATTGGCTCTGCTTTCTTAGTTTTACTGAAAAATATATCTTTTTAGTATAGCTTTTCAACATTTTATTGAAAGTACTTTAAAATATCATGTCCGTTAATCAGAGTTTTTAAATGTCTGTCAGCAGTTAGAGATTTTGTCAACATATGGTGCAGTAGAAGTGATTATTGAAGTAGCCCTCTGACAATGTAGCCTTGTTGTCTCTGCTGTATGAACTCTGGTCTCCATCATTGAGGTTCCCTGCTGAAAAGGTGGATGGGATTGTTCCAATAAAAATTCTAATTTTAGGAGATGCTATTTGTGTTTTATAGAGTAAAATATCTAATCATAACTTTTTCTTTTAAGATGCATTAGGTGAAATAAGCATTAAAAAAATATAAAAGTAGAAGAGTGATATCAGATCTTTTCCTATTGATTTATCTTTTGTTCTTTTTGCAGTGATGGATCCTACACTCCAGCAGCACTCCCTCCCACAATTCAAATCTTTTCCCCAAGAGACTCCAATCAAGCCTTCTCATGTCTCTAACCTGATTCCTCATCCCCAACCGAGGAGAATATTGCCTCTCCAAACACCTGAGGAGAGCTGCATTACCAAGTTTGGCCCAAACTGGAGTCAAGCAGGAATAACATATCCATCAGCGCTTGTTCCAAATAGCTCCACAAACACTGTTTCCCCTGTGAATTCTTGGAGAAAAGACAGACTTGGACCTGTAAGTCACATCGATCCATCTTGTGGCAATGTTCTGGGAAGCCCGGTTAGCAGTGTCACTGCAGTGAGGGAAAATCCAAGTCCTCTGCAAAACACAATCCCATCAAGGCCCAGATGCTTCAGCTCATCTGAGGTTGTTCCGTCCAGCCTAACAAAGACTCACACCTCAGCTGAAGAGTCTCAGTCTGGGAGGACTTTAAGTAACCCATTCACAGCACTGCACTCCAGGAATGACCAGAATTCTGAATCTAAGATCCTGTCTTCTAACCCAGAAAGCAACAGCCATGTGTCGCCAAGACAAGAACCAAATACGGTAATTTCCCCTCTCTTCTTTTGATGGTGAAAAGCATATCCCTGAGGTGTTTTTTTTAATATTATAAAGCAGCAATATAATGCTGAGAGTGTAAGGCTTAGCAATAAAACTTAGGCTGTGTCCGACTGTCGCCCCTAATTCCTATATAGAGCACTATATGGTGATTACACCATTTTAAATGCATGTCTGAACGTAGAAAGTAGTGTACATGAAATTTCCTACAATGCTCCTTGAAAAGTAGTGAACATCCATGGTCACTAGATGAGCCGATATATCCCAGAATGATTTGCTAGAGCTCTCCTCGCAGAGCATCATTGGTTTTGTTGTGGTGGCATGAAAGAACAAAGATAGTGCCGGCACCGTGCGGGGAGGCGGAGTCATGTGACCAACAGGGAGCGGAAAGTAGTGATCATCTGTCTGAACAGTAAGTTATCCGAGTTCACTATAAAGTCCACTATATAGTCCCCACTCTATATAATGATTTAGGGATTAGGGTGGATGTTCAGACACAGCCTTAAAAATTCTTTGTTGTGACTTTGAGTTTAATGTGCACATTGTGTGATTACTGTTTACTAAATCACTTATAAAGTAGAACAATACCGTTAATCAACTTTTTTAGCATCCACATATCTTTGTATACTTGCATAGTGTGTTGTAACATCTGTTCTTTTTGCTTGATATCACATAGCAGCGTTCTGGATTACTCTATATTTAAAATAAACAAACTGTTGTTCAGCTGCATGATCTGCTCTAAATCCCAACCCCCCAAAACAAAACCACAGTCACATGCTCACATCTGAAAAAGATGCACCTGTTTGCAGCTCAGATTAGTGCTCTTTGTCAGTTTGCTCGCCTGATCAGACAAGAAAAGTTAATCCTGACAATAAAATTACAAAAAGAAATCTTTTTTTTTTGGGGGGGGCAATTTTGATGCTCTCCAGGGATCAGTTAAAAGAAGAAGTACAAACTAAAATTAAAATTCTCCTCTCGAAATTGATCTTGCCAAATGTTGGGAACTCTTGAGTTTTCGGTTTCAGAACAGCTGCTATGAATCAGTTCACTTAACTCTAAGTAGATTGACTCAGAGTTGAGCACGTATGTAACAAGCATTAAAAGCCATTATCAGTGGAGCCCCGAATCGATGAGTGTCCATGGCAAAAGGAAGTTCCTGTTTCACCCCTCTCGATCTAGAGATTTTGATGAAGAAAAAATGGAGAATGTGTTAAAAAGACAGAGAATCAGCACTACAGCTGAAAAGGAGCAGGAGATGGCGAAGCAGAAGATTGTTGCTCAAGTTAATGCATAAGTTTACATGAAGTGGCAGGCAGTTTTTACATTTATTAAAAGCACTTTCCTCTCTGTTGCTTCATTTTTAGATCACTAAAATAAGATTCTTCCTGATTGCTAGGTTTATTCGCAAGAAAGAAGAAAAAAAACCCACAAAAAACAAAATCACTCTGAGCAATTTCTCTGTCCACAGATGTATAAAAAACTTCAGCTCACTTCAGAAAATCACAACACAGCCAAAGTGTTTTAACATTAAAAACACTGGAGATATTTTGTAATAAGGAATCTCCTCACCTTTTAGTTATGTGGATGGTAAATTTCCTAGTGTTACAAAGGTACTAATGTCAGCTAATATATTCATTACCCAAGCTTGTAAATTTTCCTAATGTCTGAGTTGTATAAAATGTTCATTCTTTTTTCTCTTTCAGAGCCAAAAACTTGAACAGACACATTCGAGCGAAAGCATAACTCCAGGTAAAATGTTCAATTTAAATGTGTTAATGTTTTTGTTGTTATTCAGCACTTGTCCACATTGCAACTCATTGTTATCTCTCCAGTACTTGAGTTTGATCAGAGCTGGTTGGGGGAAAAAAAAAAAAAAAACCATGTTTTAGAAATCTTATGGTATTGCCTAATAACAGGTCATTCAGTAGATTGGAGATTCCAGACTTACGGCTACAAGATCCGCCACATGCATGCATCAATAAAGTTTGATGCATGTAACCAGGGGATTCCTTGTTTAGCAGATGACGCCAGCGCAGTGTTACTTTGCTCATGGTCTAAAGCCCTATTTAAATGAGTTAAAGATTTCAAATCATATCATTATGCTTCTAAAGCAGCATTCTTAATGAGCCTATATAATGTTCCAGTAGCTTGAGATCCTACATTTTGGTTTCCGTTAGGATTCTTTACACAGATCACTCTGTGGAACAGTTATTGAGAAATTTTTCATTTTGACTAAACTACGGTATTGTGAAACTATATTCAAATATATTGTTGGAGTATTGCTATGTCACTGACAAGATTATGTCTCTGGCTTTAGGTTTGGATTTAAACAGCACATCTCATAAGAGGTGCAGAGAAGAGGAGTATTGCTCTGAGAGCACAAAGAAACCGTGTCTTCTGGGTACCAAACTTGTGAGAACAGAGACTAATAAACTCACTCCTGGCACCTTGCAAAGATCCTCACTGGATCCTCAGACGTCACAGACGAGCTCTTCAGTCTTTGAGTTATCCCTCAAAACAACAGACACTTTCTTGAGGGCTGATACAGCATGCTCAACCTTACCATCCACACTCAACCCCTCTCGGTTAAACTCCCCGGGTTCAAAGAAACCCCCAGCAGGAGCAAAGCAGGGGTTTATAACCACGGAGAATGATGTAGTGATGTTAAGATTGACTTCGACTCCCTGTGAGGAGACTCCAAAAAAGCAAAATGAGGGAAACCCAAAAAAGGATAAATCCCATTCTGCTGGAGGTTCTCGGGAGTCCAGTAAACCTCAGCACGTTGCTCCAGTAAGCACAAAATCTGACTTTGGTATCCCAGTTAAGACGGAGAGCAAAAAAATAAATGGCAGCAGAACAGCAGAGCACAGTAAGGCAAGTCGAGTACGAAGACCATCAGCGGTCCTTGACGATGTGGATCAGCTCTTCACCCCTGATTCCAATGTTTATGTAGTCAGGCCTCCATGTAAGACCCCCAAATCCAAGATGGAGGAGCCAACGATAAAATCTCCTACCTCAAAGTCAGGTTTCAGCCCTACGTCCAACTGCATTCCAACCGTTACACCCGCATCTTGTCCTGTCACACAACCTGCACATGGAGTGTCTAAATTGGCCCTCTGTTTGCCAACTGTGGCTCTAGAACGTTTAAAACTGGAAAAAATAAGTATTTGTTCTAAAGATAGCATCAAAACTAGTCCTCCTGTGAGTACTCCAGGAAAACAACCCAAGAATGAGAACGTAAAACCTCAGCACAATAACTCCTCGAAAGCTAAAACCAGTGAGGGTTTTTGTTGCCCAAAGACGGACACAGCAGCCTCTGCACAAAAACCTTCACCCCCACGCTCAAAGTCTCCGTCGCTACAGGACGAGGAATGCGTTGGGAGTAAGGAGAAAGAGGAAGAGGACGGATTTAACGATTTTGATCTGGACCATAGCCTCAGCATTTCATACCACCTAGATCTAACCCAGAGCTCCGACAGCAGTGAGGAGGAGCCAATGATCTCCCTCCAAGAGATGATAGAGAACACAAAGCCTCCAGACACGCCACAGAAAGAGGCCTTCTCAGAGCCCAGCACCCCAGGATGCCAAAGCTCTCAGTCAAAAACCGTAAGCTCTGTCCAATTTAGCTTTTTAAATCTTAAACAGAAGGTTATAAATGCATAATAATTTGAGTTTTCAGAAAATTGGATGTTAGTTTGTGCCTTGGCTTGGGGGTTTGAAATAATCTTTTTTTTGTTTTTTTCCCCTTAGTGCCTGCTGCCATCAACCTCAAAGTCAGGAGTGTACAAGAACAACCTGGACCAGATGTTGAAGGAGATTAACATCAGCAAGAAGTATATATTCCAGAAGAATAACTTTTATTGCCTTTTTATTTTCACCTCATTTCTGTGCACAACAGATAATCACCCCTCTGTTTTTTCTGTTAAAATTGATCAGAGCAAAGGAGAATGAGGCACAGCTTCTAACCGCTTGCCAGGAGAACCTTTTGAGGTTAGCAGAGTATGAGGAGGAAGAGGACAGCCAAGCGGAGGATACAACTGAACACAAGTGAGAGAAACAGAAGCTGGGGGAAACATTTCACATGATTTTACTGTAAATTAAAACTAATCCATGATTTGTTCTTCAGAGAGTCTCTGTACCACTTCTCCTTGATGTACACTGTAATCAGAGATGTCCCACCAGGGGAGGTAGTTTTCAACTTGGAAAAGTTTGGCCAGATCTTTAATCAGGAAACGCTGCAGCTAAGGCAGTGCCACGTCGCTCCACAAGGGACCTCACAGAAAACTCTTCTTTGGTAAGATATACTTATGGTTTTATAGCACTTAGCACGCTAAGTATCTCGGCTGTATTTTAACAGAGAAGCATAGGAGATGAGTCTAAAGCCCCTTTCCAAGTCGAACAAGAATAGGGGCCATTCATACATGCAGCTTAGTCCCAGTAAATTATTTGGTCAGCTCTTTCCATGCCTAACCCAGCAACGGTGGAATGGATCTACCTAATGCCCCCTGCAGGTGGCAGTAATGCAGAATATATAGGTTTAGCTGACCAAGCTAACCTCTAAAGAAGAGTTTCAGCTGGACATTGCTTCAGTCAAACAGCTGATAAGCAATAACAGGCAAAGGCTTTTGGACCAGTAGTTCTTATGCTTGTTGCTAGTGTCTGACAGAATTTCCTCAGCAGACTTTTAAGTTTATTAAAATTTAGTATTTCTGCCCCTTTAATATTAATTTTCCTGATTAAAATGTTGTCGGAGGGAAAGGAAACAGGTTTTTTCCAAGTTTCTCACTGATACAAATCTGAAAAGATGGTCAGTATTTCTTTTCAACTTTTCAACATATCAATGGACAAGGGATGCTCTCAATCTAATCTGAACTTCAGCTATTTTCCAAATAATAAATGAAGGCTAATATGAGTCCCCTTGAGTTGAAAAGCTAATAAAAAAAAACAACCAAAAGACTTGGTTGTATAACAAATGGAACTATCTTCACATACTCTGTGTTTCACTCTTGTTTAAGTGAGTATTTTATTATTTCTAGTTGTCGCATCATTTTTCTCTACTGCACAGCTTTAAACTTTTTGTAGATTCACGTAGCTTATGTTGGTCATCATCCCCGCCTGAGTATCTTGGCATTATCGCAGTAGATTTAGCTCAGGGTTCCCGCGGGTCCTTAAAAAGTCTTAAAAGGCATTGAATTCTTCAAAATAAAACTAAGGCCTTAATTGGTATTAAAATGTCTTAAATCAGTCTTTTGTAGGTCTTAATTTTTAAAACATCATAAATAGGATGATTTTCCATAAATAGCTCGCCATTATTGGTTCTGTCCGGATACGGAACCAAAAAAAGCGTTGTTGCGGCCGGGACTTTTGGGAGATGCGGCATTAACTTTTTGTCTGGAAAATATGAGCAAGTGTAAATGTAACGAAAATTGGTTATCCAGCCAAGAGTTTTCTCCATGGCTAAAACCAGTACCAGGGAACATACATGAGGCACGGTGTATTTTGTGCAAGAAGTCATTCAAGCTCGGAACGATGGGAATTAAGGCAGTGGAGTCGCACATGCGAAGCACGAAACACAAAGCGTCAAAATCGAGTTACCGAGAAACAGCCGGTATTTCTCGGTTTTGTTCCACCCTTGTCTCTGCAATGCCTCCACTTATCACCAAATCAAACATACTAAGAAAACGATACAAAGAAAAATAACTGCAAAGAAGACTTAGCACTGGTTATGTTGTGGCTTTAAAACTGATTTGTTTTGTTCCCTGCTAAAACAAAGTTTGTGAATTCAGTTAAATAATTGTTAAAATATATCTGTCATTTGTGTGTGAAAATAAACCTTTGGGTTAAGTTGTCGCAAGCAGGTTTTTCTTGTGTTTCTTGTGAATTTGGTCTTAAATTTCTATTTCAAATGGCATTAAAAAGTCTTGAATTTAACTTGCCTTATCCTGTAGGAACCCTGTAGCTTGACAACCAGGATACAGAATCAGGTCCTTGTCAAAAAGAAAATAATAATAATAATACATTTTATTTAACAGCGCCTTTCTAGACACTCAAGGTCACTTTACAAATAATACAAAAAATAAATAAAAAGAGAAGAAAATACAAAATACAGATACAGGAACATAAAAAACAAAAAAAACAATCATGGATAGGGAAAAGAGCAGTATATTCACAGATAAGCGAGCTGGAACAGATGGGTTTTGAGTCTGGCTTTGAATAAGGGGAGAGAGTCAATACTGCGGAGGTCGGGAGGAAGTGAGTTCCAGAGCTGGGGAGCAGAGCGGCTGAAGGCTCTGCTCCCCATGGTGACAAGTCGAGCTGGAGGTACAGTGAAGTGGATGGAGGAGGAGGATCTAAGGGAGCGGGAGGAGGTGGCAATGTGAAGGAGGTCTGACAGATATGAAGGAGCAAGGTTATGGATGGCTTTGAAAGTATAGAGAAGGATTTTAAATTGAATTCTGAATTGAACTGGGAGCCAATGGAGTTGGTGAAGAACAAGGGAAATATGATGGAAGGAGGGGGTTCTTGTGGCATCAGAGAAATTTCAGACACATTGATGGAGTCATTTATAACCCCAGTCCAAACACCAGTGGAGGAAAATTTTGCTTTAATTTCTTGTATAACTGCTGAGCTAGCTGTTCTTATATTGCATAAGAAAACTGAGAACATGTGATGCCAGGACAGGTTAAGACTTCTACACTGGGAACCAGCAAACGGTACCGGAAAAGATCCAAGGGAAGCATGTGGTTTTGGATTTGACCTGCGGGTCTCAGGGGACACAGTGTAGCATAATTATTTTTTTTCTATGAAACAAAAAACAAGAGGCATGCCTTAGCTTCTTAAAGGAAAAGATTGGGCAGGGCGGCATAAAAGAAACGCATTCCCATCCATTATATACAGATGTTGAAAGTTTACATATCCCTGCCATTAGAGAAAATTATAAATTTACACCAGTAATTGAGGCAAAACAAAACTGAAAAAGTAATAATAAATATTTAGATGATAATTTAGTCAAATAAAATATTAATTTAGATTTTTTTTTTCTTTAGAAAAAATTTGTAAAAAAAAAAAAATATTGTCCCAGACAAATGAAAGTACCTTACTCTAAACAGCGAACCATCATACCTGACTGAACATTTTGCTGAACATTACAGAAAACACCTGATTTTAGTGATTATTGCCTTAAAAGTTTTGCTCAACAAAACCTTAGTTCAGTAGCTCCATCAGGCATGTTTACTTGTTTTATTTATGAATATTTAAATAAAACAAGTATTCAAATTCAATGTCATGATTTCAATTTTTTACATCTTGTATTTATAATTACCCTTCTAAATTACCATTTATTTTACTGGTAGCTTTTTTTTTTTTTTCTCGTAACTTTCAAGCACAACTGTATATATCTTAAGAATGCTTATGTGAAAGATAGATTAAAATAATTAGCATAACAAAAGAAATGTTAGATCAGGTTATTAAAAGGCCTTAAATTGGAACTCATTTAAGGGATCTTTAACAATTTTCTACGTTTCGCATTTGTACAAAACCAATACAGGGAGTTAGGTCAAGCTGATTTAATTTTGTATTTTTTTATGGCACTAGTGGCATAAAACAGTAGGCTGACAGGAAAGGGGGTATGAGTGAGAGGCAGAGACATGCGGGAAAGGACCACGGGTCAAATTCAAACCAGGGTTGCGGCGACGAGGATTAAGGCCTCTGTACAGGGGTCGTCCGTGCTAACCACTGCGCCACCTGCATGCCCAAGCTGCTGTAAAATTTGAAAGATAATATTTTAGCTCATTATCTCAAATTTTTATGTACTTTAACTGTTTAACATTTAAATTAATATTCAGCCAGTTGTTTCTGGGTTTCTTTTAGCAAGTAACTACATAACAATGTTTAGGTTTTGGACCTTTCTGTGCTAAAACTTCTTTTACAATTAACCTCAGTTGCTCCTCAGCAAATATTTGAAACCTTGTTTTTTAAATCACTGTTTTGTTTCTTCATTTCTCCTCTTTTTTCCTCCTGCTTCATTGTAGGTCCAGTCCTGCTCAGCTGCGACTGCACTTAAATATTGGCCTGTTTGAGAAAGCTTATCGTAGCTCACCCTGTCCACCCAAAGTCAACCGCTTCCTTTTCAAGGTACCCTGCTTTACTGTCATAGAAATTCAAAAATTAGATTTTATTATATAATAATTTGGAGACTCTTGTTGGTGTTAAACTCTACTGCTGGAATCGACTGTTTGTTGTTAACAGATGATGTCAGTCCATAATGAAAGGATTGTGTCGGATAGGATCCTTCAAGTCCTTTGTGACATTGCCTGTTCTGCGGCTTATCAAATAGGTCAGCATCTCTTTTTCTTCCCCTTCAGTTCCACTGGATGTGGAAGCTTCTTCCAGGCACCATTTTTCCAGTACGATAGTGTCTCGTGTGCCTGGTCTTTATCTAATAACCCTAATTTTTTTCTTTTCTTTTTGCATTTATCATGAGTAAGTGATTCTGGGACACTTTGCACTTGGTGGAACCATTCTAATTGAATACAATTCCTGTGATGGCCCAGCAGAGCTGCACATCCAGTGGAACTGATGACTTAGCTTATTATTTTTCTTTACTGTAGGAAAAATACTGATGTTTCTTTTGTCATCTGCAAACTCCCCCAGTGAACAACGATAATCAGCAATTTGAGGTGTGGGTCCCCAGTTTGGCCGACGTGACGCTGGTCCTCATCAACATGGGTGCTGCATTTGTAACACTTTTCCCCTTTGAGAGTCTACAGCCATCGTTCACGGAGGGAGATCTGCTGTGCGTAACTCTGTCTTATAGATCAGCTATTGCTGCTTCATATTAAGAAATATGTTAAACAATTACTTTTTTTTATTACAATGTTTAATTTTTTGTTTTGTGTAGAGAGGATGTCTATGTTAAAAGTGAGAGTCCTTCCAAAAACAAGGAAGAGATCATTTTCCCTGAACACAACTGTACAAACATCTTAAAGGTGAGATATTTAGAAGTTTAATGTCTTACAGTTTAGATTAATAACGTTAATACTGCATAATTTGATGTTAACACTTAAAAGAAGTGCTAAGTTTATGAGCAAGCTTATTTAATGCAGCTGATTTCATAGTAAGGAGATTTTATATTGGAGAACAAATGCTTGTCGAACCAGTTTCATCTTTCCCTCTTGCTTGTTTTCCCTCACAGTACCTGTCCTACTGCATGGGCCTGTGCCCTCTTGCCTACAGTGACGATGAACTGCTGTTGCTGTTAACTGTGGTGGGAAGGATCAGCCTGGAAACGCAGCGACTCCTCCAGTCAAATGTAGAAGTGAGCTGTCTACTGTATGAACTGATCAACAACATCAGGGACTGGTCTTCTATGGTCAGTCAAAAGCTTCGAAAGTTTTTTCAATTTGTGTTTCATTAAATTTCAAGCAATTATTAGACTTATTATTTTAATGTTTTTTTTTTCCTCTGCTGTAGCTTCCTAGAATCTGTAAGGCTCTGACCGATTTGACAGATGATCACCACAACATGTGCCTGCTAGTCCAACTCCTGCCTGACAGTACACGAGGACAGTATGTGTGCATTCATTTTTTAATCGGTTAGGGTTAGAAATTTAAATAACCAAAGGAAGCAAACATGATGGGTTTCTTATAGGCCTTCGTACTTTATTAAATTTATAATATAATCGCAGTTTTGCAAAAAAAAAAAAGCCATTTTCAAATTGCAGATGCGCTCACTTTTTGGATCACATTACATTCATTAAGACACTGACTTTATTACTCCAGCCCTTAAGGGGGCGGTAATGTGTTTAAAGTGGGTTTGCTGCATTGCAAAAGAAATGAATGTTACAGACCTGCTAGCTAGTAGAAGTAAGAACGTCCCACATTACAGTAAGAGTAAAGTGGTTCCCAATGGACTCTAGAGTAGCAAGCTTTTAAGGTCATGAAACATCTAGAGGATTATCATTGGTTCATCTGCATTTAGTTTCCTTATCTTTTTCTTGCTTTATTTATTAGTCACATTGTTAAAGTATAAAGTATCATTGTTCCAAAACAGCAATATATATATATATTTTCCCCCCTTTTTGTAGATATCTCCGCCGCCATCTAAGCCTCTGCTTTATCTCGAAGTTGCTGGATGGAAATTGCACCTATTGCCCTATGGAGGAAGAGCTTCCGGTAAACTCTCTTAAGACATTGTAAGCATTCGTTTTAAGGCAACATGAATTGGTTCCTGTTAAATAAAACACTTTGTATTGTGGGCAGCTTGCTGAGTTAAGGCAATATCTTCCCAAAATCCAACCATCCGCACTTCTCCGAAGTATACAGCTTAAAGACAAAGAAGAGGACCTGGCCACTCAAGATCAACAGGTGAGGACTGGATAAAGGAGAAGCATAATCACCAGAGTTTGTTGGTTAATTTTTATTCTTTACAAGCTTCCTTTTTTTTTTTATATTTTCCAGGCTTACTACCTGTGCTACAGCCTTCTGACTCTCACAAATGAGGCGTCAAATTTACAGGTTTTCCGACCTGATCAGAAGGTAAATTCTCTTTCCTTTCTCTTTGTGGCTTGTTGTTGTTGGGATTGAGTTTCAGATGACTGAGGAAGCTTCAGATATTAGAATTCACACTAAAGCATTTTTCTTTATTTATTTAGGCACAGCTGCTTGTTTTGTCATCCATCCTGGAAACGCACATTAAATGTCACATCAGGGAAAACGAGAAATGTCTTTATCGGAGCAAGGTGGGTGCAGCTTTAAACAAACACAATCAGTGGATGGTTCTACTGTTTTAACCTATGTAACCCTCTAGATCTTTTATGCATATAAACAGTTTGTACTGTAATTTTAGAGGGAAAGAATCGGTGATGATTAATCTCTTGGCAAGCTGGTACCTCTAGTAAGAGTGCAGGACAGTTTGCTCTTTGTCAGTTTTATAGATAAATGGTTGTGATAGTTTTCAGATCTGATTGACCATTTAATTATAAACAGTATTTCCTCCAGATTTTGGATTGCACCCCTTTTCTATTGACTTTTTCACAGACGCCTGATTAAGCCAAAATAACAATACTTGACCTCCTGATTGTGGATACTCAGAATTCCTTAAACACATTTTCTAACTTAAAATTGTCAAAGTGGAAACAAAAAATTTCCTTGGCAGTTACAAATTTGCACCTATTCAACATGAAATATCCAGCATTAGCATTTGTCTTTTTAAACCAAAAATGGTCTATTTAATAAAAAAAAACTGCTGCTGTTCAAATGGAACAGAACCTCTAGACCTAGATCTGTAATATCACAGATATACTATTTAATATATTCACTTACGCTGGTGAATATTCTCAGTCATCCAGCTCATAGTCATTCCAAAAATAGTTAAAAACAAACCACTGGACCTTGTTTTCCAAAGAAGCGAAACGTTTTCAAACTTGGAAAGTAAAGTCCAGTGAGTTGTTTTCAACTTTTTGTGGAAGAAATATATTCAGTTACCAACCTAAAACTTGATGTTGTGTCATCTGTGGCAACAAATGGGAGCTTTTAGATGGACAGGAAAAAAAGAAATCTGTTTCATAACATTTATTCTTTCGCTAGGTAAAGGACTTGGTAGCCAGGATCTACACCAAGTGGCAGATGCTTCTCCAGAAATCAAGACCTCTGAATGTACAGTAAACAATTCCTCACAGTAGTTTCATCAAATATATAAACTAATGGCGACGTCTTAACCATCTCTGCTGTCTCATAATGTGTTTTTGTAGGGTAAGCTGTATGATTATTGGCAGCCTGTGGAAAACTTTAGACACAGTGAAGAGGATGAAGATTCGTCGTCTGCAGTTGAAGATGAAGAAACCTTGATAAGCGAGGAGAATGACACTACAATTTCTGAAAATGAAGAGGAAGAGAAAGAGGAGGAACAAATGAGGGTTAAAGAGGACATGGAAGTAGATGAAATTCCAGGTGACAAGGAAGACGATACAAAGACAAGTGAAGCAGCAGAAGATGAAATAACTGGGGACTTAAACCAAACAGCGCCAGTGATGCAGCCGTCAGCAATGGATGAGCATATTGATCCTAAAGAATGCACAGAAAATGAGAATCAGACTGCTGGAATGGAAGAGAAATCACCCCCGATGCCCTCATGTGAACCTCTGTCACATGATGACATTCTACAATTTTTCTCTGGATGTTAAACCCTGTTGCCTTAAAGTTATTTACGATTTCACTAATTGACATTTTCCACAAACCCTCAGGTTAACTCTATGCAAAAATCGATTGTTAAATGTTTATGAAGGGATTCAAAACTCTTTAATAAAGCGTTTAAGTCTCTTCAGAGGTCGAAAACCTTGCATTGTTTTGATGTGTGTATTTAATTTTTAATGTATTTCAAACATTAGCATTCACATTCATACACTGAGACATTCACATTATTTTTTAAAAAGAAGCTATGCAGAAGTAAAACCTTAATTGAACCTACCCATGTCCGTTTATATTTATCTTACACTTATTTTTTATTTAAGTAAAAACATGACACTTTTCCCAAAGTGTATATAATCGTTGCCCGGTTTATTTTAAATCAAAACAGCAAAACAAAATGACAAATTTTTTGTACGTTTCCTGAACTCTGCACCTCTTGGTCCTTTTCATAATTTGTACTTTTTCTCTTGCTCTGGATCTTTTTTTTTTACTTTAATTCTGCTGTTGGACTTTTCCATAAATCTGAAATGGCTGTGCTGTTTTCCTCCCACTGCAGTGGTTTAAATGTTACATTTTGGGTTGTTGTGTTGTTTTTTTACAAGAAGATTTTTATTAAATTAGATTATCTGGATGTCTTGTCTCACTAAGTCTGCTTAGAAGAAGCTTTGGAGTGAGTGTAAAGTTTCTGCTGTCAGTGTACCCATCCATGGCTGGGCCTAACAAAATGCCAGCCATGTCAGAAATGTAAATTTATATATTATGTAGAATTGATATATACTGAAAAAAAGAAATTCAAGCCTTTGCCATTTTTAATTTTTATGGTTAATAGATAACGAAAGCAAAATAAAACTCTTAAAATCAAATTACATTAGAAATAAGCTTATATTGAATGGGTAGGTTTCTAAAAAGCGCCACTGGCCCCCGCTTGCTTGAAAAGAGTTCATTACATCCCTGGCTCTAAAGTCTCTTTGTAATACTCCATTGATCTGTTCATTGGGTTCCGAAAAAGGTACGATTTGGGCCAGTCAAGCACAAATATCACCATAGTCATTAAATCTATTTTGGGAAGCCTTGGCAGTGTGCCAAGTCCTGCTACTGTCAGCAGAAGGGATGAGGTGCTCTAAAAATGTCCTGGTAGATGGCTGTGTTAACTGTGGACTTCAGAAAAAACTCAGTGAAAACCATTATGGAAGTCAAACTTTGGAAAACAAGAATTAATTTTTTTTCGAAGTTGTTACTACACCTGGTGGTGACAGTATAGTTTACAATCTCCACATACTACAGACTTAAAGGTATAGTGGAGAATTTTCACTAATTTTGGAAAAGACCCACCCTCTCCACTTAAAAAAAAAAAAAAGTGCACATGCACAACCCTATTGAACGTGTGCAAGAGCATGCACGAGCCCATTTCTCCACGTGCACACTCTGTTTAAAAGGTCCTGTTTGCAAGCTTACTTTCCACAAGAAGATTTGCAATTTTTTCACTATGTCAGACTTGCCACCTACAAGTCATAGGACGGCCTTAGGTAAACATATCACCAGACTGATTGACAATTAGGAGGACCACTTATTTTGCTGATCCACCCGGAAAAAGAACATCCTCCACTATACCTTTAAGGTATGTAGCATCTTGCTGAAAACAGAGAAGGATCTTAGCTTCCTTCAAAAGCATACCTACAGTCTGTTCTGTCCATTCTTTAAATTTTTCACAATGTAAGTTAGTTTCTAACCAATGTTGCCTGAAGATATGTGGGAAAGAATCTCTATTGGTTATTTTGAAATGTCATTGACCACTTCCCTGAGTTTTTCCATTCTATAAAAAGATGTTTGTTTCTCCACATAAAGTTAAATACATTTTTACTATCTCTTCATAATTACAGGAGGAGCATTAAGAAAAAAAATTTATTTGAAAGGGAAGCTTTTAGATCTCGTTAGACAGATGCTTCTCAGTTATGTTGAATCCCTCCACATTGTTGGTTTGTTCCGCCCCGCCCCTCTTTACTGGGTTGCTATGCAACAGCAGTCAGGTGACTGTCTGCAGACAGAACATGGCTGACCTGTCAGAAGACCAATGAAGGAAAGGCCAAATTTTGCATAATCGATCTTATTTTTTTCCCTCGTTTCTGACCGCAGTTGTCCGTCTTGGGCAGCGTTTGACCCGAGATACTCAAGGTAAGCGTGGGAGTGCTTAAGTGCTGGGCAATTTATCCCCCTGTGTTACACGGAACTGGCTGAAGTCAGTGTTGATGTTGCTAAGTGCTAGCTGTTAGCCAAACAGCCCCCCTCTCAGCTCCCGCTTTTCACCTAAAACAACCAAAATTATGGAGAGATTCTGGAAACTTCATGGAGGTGTTATGAATTATCTTTTGTAAATTTAGCAAGGTAACAGTATAGTGAGCGCCGTCTTTATTGTTTCACAAGTTTGCAATTAAACGTTGCTAAAAGGGGAATTTTTTGTCAGCATTTTATGTGGAATCTGCACATCAGAACAACTCTGTTGCTTTTTGGGGTAAGGACACTATCATCATTTTGACTAATACATACTGTAAAGCTATTATATTATAACTTCTTATTGTAGAAGAACTAATAGGACACAGTTAAATAGGCGCCTGTTTTAGATGCCAATAAGCTTTTACAGAATAATCTCTAATTTTTGATTTAATCTATTTTGAAAAAGATGAAACCTTTGACCCCATCACTGGGTGTAAAGCTGAGGGAGTTATCAGGCAATGATGAACTTCCTGGTTTTGATATCACTGCAACAACCTTTAGTGTTACACTTTTTTTTATTTATTTATTTTTTTTTTTATTATTATTATTGTTATTATTATGTGTAATTTCTGGATCTCATACATTGCCTTCCAAAAATAACTTTTGAGCTTGGTCACATTTTGTGACTGTTGTTGGAATTGTATGAAAACATTTAAAAATATATATTTTTTGATAAATTAGAGTTTATTTCAGTTTAATTTTATTAGGATAATATGAAATAAAGTAAGACAAAGTACTGGATAATTGTGAAGTATAATGAGAATTGTTCAGCTTAGTCTTTCATTGCCTCTAAAATGTTTTCTTAGCTGATTTCTGTGCATTTAATTTTCCCATTAACCGTGTCCAGCTTCCCTTGATCTGTTGAAGAAAAGCATCACCACACCATGATGCTGCCACCACCATGTATATTGATGGGGAAAAGTCAATTCTTGGTGTTAGTTTGCCACAACATATATTGTAAAATTTAACATGGGTCTCATCTGACCAAACTTCCTCCCCCGCCTTAGCTACTTTAGTTTTAGCTAAATCTGATGGAAAGTATTTCTTCTTTTTTTAAAGGTTAATGTGTTTATTCATTTATTGTCCCTGTGGAATGAATACTAAACTAATCTTAGCAGTGGAGCTGTGCTGATCCTTTAGAGAAATGCCGGATGTCTCTTATTTCTGTTTCTTGTTGATGGATTGACGAGCTCTCTTTGAGATGTATTAGCCTTATTATAACCACTTTGTCTCTGATTGACTGTCATGTTTCTAAGTTGTCTTGATGTTTTTTTTCTACTCATGTTTTTCTGGACCTCTTGAGCCCTCTCAGAAGTCAGAACAACTGTACTGTAGAAATACTGATGCTAAATTACACACTGGTGGATTAAATTCTAGATGTTGAGAGTTGTAATAGATTTTGTTAAGGTCATTATCAGAATTTATTGCTTTAAAATTTAGGCTAAAAATAATACCATGCCATATTTTCTAAATTCTTTATTGTTAATAGTCAGAAAACCATGTGCCATTTACTCGCCACTTAGCAATTATGAATCACTTTTTGATTGTAATGTTAAAGAATGTTAACATTGTAAATGTCTAAGAGCTTTTAGCTACCTGAAACTGTTAGTTATTAACTGTTTGTGATATTTCTTGGTCTTCTCTAATTTAAGTTCTTTTCGAACTCCACTTGTAGAATCTCTGAGTTTTAAAAATCCAAACCACCTAACTCTCATTGGTTCTTTTAGTTAGTTAAATCATTTTATTTTTACAGCATTGTAATCATACTATTTAATGCTTCAGCCAGATAGCAAACAAAGCAAGATCACCAACCATAGGGAGGTCGGTATACCTCTAATGAGACCTCTGGTATTATTTTAAAATGACCTTTCTTTAGTGTTTTGGTGTTCCTTTTCATTTTTTTTGACAGGTGCTGAAAAGCCTGCATTAATTATTGATTTCCATCATTACAACAATTTGTTTAATTCCAGATGAGTGCTTTGCCAGATGGAATGGCAAATGGCCCAAGCAGGAGTGAGGCTTTTAGCAAAGATGCTCAGGTTTGGGAGAGACCGTGGAGTCTGGAGGAGATACGACAACACAGCGCCAACTGGTCCTTAGCTGCTGACTCGGGGGTAAGCTTGACACATTATTGTCATTTTTAAGTGTTTGAGAAACACTGCTTGAGAAAATTACGAAATGTGCTTGTAGTAATGCTGCGATAGATCCTGTTCTCATAAATGCTTTTTGATTTCACTTCATAGCTCTTCCTCTTCCTGCAAGACTTCTCTCACAGAATGTTGTCAAAGACACATGAGATTGAAAAGCAGTTGGATGGGCTCATCCGGGACACCAAGGCCACTGACAGCCACCTGCACTCTGTCTTCAATGATTTTTTAATGCTATCTAATACACAATTCATAGAAAACGTAATGCCTCTCATTACTGCATTACACTATTTACTTCTACATTTATATTTCCAGGGAAGTTCTCTAATAAATGCAGCATAATTCAGTGTATCCTGTTGTGTTTTAGAGAGTGTATGATGAAGAGGTGGAGGAGACGATCCCCAAAGCCGAGGCTCCGGAGAAGCAGCCTGATCAGGTACCCTTATTTAATACTAACCATCCTTCATCTGTTACTACCCTTTAATACAGTGCTCTCTAAAAATACTCAAACCAAACAGAAATAGGAATTTATTTTAAATGGAAGTTCATATAATAAACCAGGGGTCTGCAACCTTAACATTCCGGAGAACCATTTCAGCTCTTCATCAAGCCAAATAAAACTAGTTTAGATTCACAAATATTATATCACCTCTTGAAAGAAAGACATGTTTTCTTTATTCCAATTTTATAAACTAAAGGGAAAAAAAACTCTGCCAAAAGAGGTTGGATACATTTTCCTCTGGGTTTTAATATTTTTAGAAAAATAATAAAAACAAATGTAATTTTTTAGACTTGTACAGAAACACAAATTTTGAGAAAGGAATCACTGGTGTTTTAAATGTTGGTCTGTTGAGGAACAAGTATTAAGGAGCAATTATTAAGTGAAAAACTTCAAACTTGCATTTTTATTAAGTCTTCATTTTAAGTTTTTGGTTATTGAGAGCCACTCTGGAGCACCTAAAGAGTTCTTTTTTTGGCTCTAGAGCAACAGGTTTCAGACCTTTGTGACAGACAAAGACAAGTGGTGCTTTCCCATAAAGAGGGAAAAAATAACGCATAGTTCCATTTTGGTTTATTTAACCCTCTAAAGAAAATAAATAAATAAATAAAAGAAAACATACATCACTGAACGGCTGATTTAAGTTTTTACAGTGACTCTAATTAGGACCTCTGAAGGCAGCTTGTTTCATTAAACTGTAATTGTATGATTCTATTGAGGTTTATCCCTGATAATAGGGCTTAGTATAATAGTCATATTTTTTTTTGTTTTTAAATAAAGGAAAATAAACTCTATACAATATTCCTGTCATAGTTATGAGCTACATTGTTTTGATTTATCACATGCTATATCACAAGAAAACACACTGAAGTATTGCTTGCAACATGACTAAATGTATGACCTGCTCTTGTATGCATTTCCATATTTATTCAACTCTTTTTATTTGTGCATTTATTTATATTTTTTTTTATTCAGGAGAAGACACGAGAGCAGAAAGAGGCAGAGTTGATTCCTAAGATGCAGGAAGCCATCAGTTACGGCCTAAAAGTACTGGAGTCAGCCTTTGAGCATCTGGACATCAAAGCAGGGAACTCTGAGTCTGAGGACGAGGAAATCCCAGACAAAGTGGAGTCCATCCTGGAACCCAAGGTAAGCTGTTCATCTGAATGGCCGTTTTTACAATTTTGTCAGGAATGCATCCAGTTAAGAGTTCAGCATTATGAAGTTTCCATGATGGTTGATTATTTTTCTTTCAGGATCTCTATGCAGACAGGCCGCTGCCATATCTGATAGGCTCCAGAGCCTTCATGGAGCAAGACGATGTGGGACTCGGTGACCTGTCGAGTGATGGTGAGACTCTCTCAGGGGCTCTGTCTGTACTACAGTGTGAGCAGTTTGGCTTTAAAAACCATCATGTCATTTTTCAGAAATGTCAGTCGAAAGCGACAGGGACAGTGTCATCGACAGTGAAGAAGACCAAGATGAACTTGTGAGATCATTTTACCAATATTATTATTTTTTTTTTTCTAGGAAATAATTTTTTATTTTTTTTAACAGCACTCTGATGATGACTTTTCCCAGGAGGAACAGGAAACTCACAACAACATTCAAAAGAAGGTATTTTGTTTAATTGTTCTGCCCACATATTATTAAGACCCTTGGCGCGCAAAGTAAAGCATTTTCAAATATCTTTTCTTTTTTCTTTTTTTTTTAGAAGTCATCTATGATTAGTTTTGAAGAAGATGAAGAAGAGGAGGATGAGGATTCAGACTTATTTGAAAAATCTGATGAAGATGAAGATGTTTCCAAGGTATGCTCTGCTTCCATAAATGAATATGACTGTATAGACTTCAATAAAAATATACTGTAAGCATTACATTATGCTAGCTGAGAGGTGCAAATATTTAAAGTACAACAAAAACTAAAATAAGACAGGACAATTAGTATCTAATTTGCCGCATTTCCCAACTTCCAGTTTTCTTTTTGGTTCTTGCAGCACACATTCTTTGCATGTTGTATGTGTTGGCATCATTTTTGTGTTGAGCACAGTTATGTATTAGCACCACAATTGCACTATGTTGCTGTTTATTTTCTGTGATTGCAGTATCTTTCCTTTGAATGTCTTTTCTTTGTTAGTTTAGTTTTCTATGTATTTGTTTGCAGTACTTTTTGTATTTACTGCATTTTCATGTATTTATAGTGCTCTTACCCGTGTGGACCACTATATTAAATGGTTCATATTATCTTGAACAGAATTAACAGATAATATTTTGTGCTTCACAGAACACCCGCTCCTCATCATTTGCTGAGGAGTTAGCCGCCCGAATCAAAGGGGAACAAGTTTCGAGGCCGGATGGAGATCTTGCATGTAAGTCCCTGTCATAATAACTTACTATAGAGGAGATCATCATATTAAAGTTTTCCATTCCTACATCTCGGTGGCCCTTAGGTATGAGAAGGGCTTTATAATTTTGCAACGTTATTGGGATTAAATCAATTATTGACACAATTTTAGATTGGGTATGGAAGTTTCTGTGTGGATAATTTAGTCAACAATCAGGCAAGTGATGTTAAGCAACACAAGATTTATACAGTTATATTTAATTATTGTATTTGGATTATACTTTGTCATTGAAATTTTTATTTTTTATTTTAGTTGGACATTTTGAGTTGATTGGATAAATGTTTGATGTGCTCCTGAAAGCTGTAATTGGTGTTGCATTGGCATCATAGAAGACAAGAGCAAAACATTTAAAAATGTGTGCTTATTGGAGAGGAAGATGGATAATGAATAAAAAAAAACAACTTTTAATATGGGGGTATTTTTTAGAGAACTGAATCAATTTCACCACAACGATCTGGCCCTGCACACTTAATTGTGATTAACCCTTTCACACCTTTGCTTTTATTGTGAAATGCCGACAGCAAGACCTTGAGAGGAAATGCTATGGGGCTGCCAGGGGTAACAGTAGGTCCAAAGCTAAGGGTAAAACATTACTGCTGCGCAGTAATATCTGCTCTGATGGTGATGTCGTAGGCCATAATTAAAAATAATTCTGTCTTAAAAACCAAAACAGCACAAAAAACAGTTTTACCTGCACAAATAAATTAGCGCTGAAAAACTAGGCTAAATTACTTTAATTTAGTTTGGAGCTTAATGGGGTGATAGTTGACCTCTGGATGACCTAAAAAAATTATCTTTAATATCTCTGACACAACAGCAGTACATATGATCTTTTTTTAATTAATGTCTTTCATTTTTACAAAGGACCATTTTAAATGGACAAACCTGCTCTAAAGAAGCAATAACCATTCGGTCCATTTGCTGATTTTTTTTTTTCATATCAGTGCGGTGTCAGCTTCGCGCAGCTGAAGCTCCTCCTATTTGATGATGCGGCCCAGGGTGTAAACACAGTGCATCTGAAATGCAGAGCATTGAACTCTCTGCAGGGCTCACGGGAATCGCCACTCGGTCTGAACCATTACAGAAGTAAAAATAAATTAAAAAAAATAATAATTTGATCTGAAAACTGTCAATAAAAACTACTGCTGGAGGCAAGTGGTGCAACAGATTATCTAAATGCTTCATATGAATTCTCCATCGTCCAACACAACAAAGTTCTGCTAAATCTCATTTTAATGCCATCCCTTCTTTGCAGTTTTCATCTCTCATACAATGCATAAACATACAAATGTTGACTGTGAAACTCTAATTGGATTAATTCAGAATGACCTAAACTAATTCATTGTAATAACAAAGCCAAAGAGCTGCAACAATGTGAATAGAATAAAATCTCACAGTTAGAGGAGTTTCGCTAAACTTTCCATTTTCTCTTCCAGATGTTTTTTTCAATTGTAGCTTGATCTCCGACTGTTTTCTTTCCGAAATTAAACCAATGTCCCCTGATAACAACATGCAATCTGCGAGTATTCACCATAGAATACTATTTTAATTTAGAATTGATGAAGCCTAATAAAATGGACAACTGCTTCTAAGTAAAACAAATGCAGTCATTTAGTAAAAAACTAGGTTATGATAACAGCTGATTGATTGTGGAAGACTCGTACTTCAGGTCTGGAGCACTGGTTATATGCATTTGATTGGTCCGAAACATTTCTGTATCAAAGCCAAATGTATCTTCTGTCAGTTATGTATTTTTAGTATTTTCGGGAGTTATGACTTCACCAATCATGCAACAATTCATCTTGGTTAGGAAGGTAACAGTGTATGAACCATCTCATTAATTACATCTAGAGCTTGTCCAAAATACATGCCGGAACCTAAATCTTCATCCTTTAAAGTTTAGGCTTGTTTTGTTAATTTTTTTATGTCAAACCCAGGCATTAAAGCTCCTTCATTTTTTTTTTCTTTAAACATAACAGTTCCCTGTCCACCATCTTTACATGTGCATGTTTATTTCTTTTGTTTCTGCCATTTCATTATCCTGAAGCATTAGCATCTAAGAGGAAGAGTAAAAGCAGAAAAGAGCCAAAGCCCACAGAGCCAGAGGGTAGGACACTCGGTTATCATCAATCCTGTTCAGCTGCTAAATTAATGTTTGCCCAACACACCCATTAATCTCAAAACTGTTCATTTTACCAACAGCTGAGGACGACAGTGATGATATGTTTAAGCCTCCTAAGATGGATGATCATTATGATGATGAAGATGATGACGAGTTCTCTCCATTTGGAGGAAAAAGTGGCCTCTTCAGTGGAGGAAAGGGTCTCTTTGACGATGATGATGAGGTCATTTATTTTCCCTTTTAACATCTACAAAAGCATAGTAATTAGATTGTAATGTGTCATGTTCTAATGCATCCCACAGGGTGATCTTTTCTCTGAGGCACCAAAACCTGCTTTGGGAGATAAACCAGTAATAAATAAAGACATAAAAAGCAAAGCTCCAACTCCAGGTAAGATTTAGAGATGGAAAAAGATTGATTAGAAGGTTGACACACAAAGTGAGATTAATATTTCAGAATCTCTCAAAACAGATAAGAAGATTCCGGCTGGTGCGGTATCAATATTTCCAGGTAGTAAAAAATTATTACATAAAAAAAATTATTCTGGTAATTCTATTATTTTACCTTTTTTTTTTTTTTTTTTTTTTTTTCTTTTTTAACTTTTATTTAATTTCTCCCAAACATACAAACTTTGTAGAAGACTGGTCAAAAATCAAAAACAATATCAGCACTACATCTCACATGTATATACAAGAGTCCATCCATGAGTTCTATGTCCATAGCAATTGTCCGTTAGAGTCCATTTTACATTCCACTCCCAGTGTTTCCAGTGGTCTCCTCCAGGTGTTTGTAAAGAATTGAAGGCTTCCATCCATGTAATGTCCAAGTCTAATCAGAGTCATGACATCAGCTATTAACGATTTCCATAAAGAAATGGAGGGGGGTTCACTACCCACCCATTTCACCATAATGGCCTTCCTTGCTAACATTAACAGTGACTGTATAACATGCTCATATTTTACTAGTGATTTAGGAATATGTCCCAGCAAACATATCAGTGGGTTTTCTGACACAATTTGACCAATAGCTGTACTGATTTTGGCACATACATCTTTCCAAAATGACTGAATGACATCACATTCCCACAAATAGTGAAACCTGGTGCCCACAGAAATTTTACATTTGAGGCAATTTGAAGAAGTTCCCGCATTGTACTTGCTAAAAATATAAGGAGAAATATATACATTATGCAAAATGTTATACTGCATTTCTTTAAATCTGTTACAGACAGAAATTTTAGATGGCAGGAGCAGGATTTTATCCCATAATTGCGTGCTTATTTCACATTTAAGTAAAGTTTCCCAGGATTTCCTCAACCATGCCAGTTTGTCCAGATTTAGCTGATAGATCTCAGAATAGAATTTTGATATAAAATGTTTGTGGTCCCTATTTTCAAGAAGGAACCTTTCCAGTCTATACGAGTCTGTTGGGTGTATCAATGATTTTGCCTCCTTCATTACATAATGCCTAACTTGTAAATATTTATAGAATTCCTTATTTGATAACGCGTACTGTGTTTTTAAAGAATCAAACGATTTGAATGCCCCATGTTCAAAGAGATCAGAAATTCTAATTATGCCTGCTTTATGCCAACCCAAAAAACTCGAGCCTATGTCTCGAGGCAGGAGATCTGGGTTGTCTATAAGTGTTGATACTATATTAAGCCGGTGATTACTCTTAAACAGTTTTCTCAGCTTTTCCCATGCCCACAAGACATTACTTATCAACTGATTATCCTTCATTATTTGTGGCAAGTCGTTCAACCGTCTTCCTAGCATGTTAGCAGGTGAGCAGGATTTACATAATGATGTTTCAATGTTGAGCCAAGGTGAATCAGGGTGTCCATGTATCCAGGCAGAAATGATCCTGGCTTGTACAGATAGAGCATAATTTTCAATGTTTGGTAACCCCCACCCCCCTAAAGCTCTGGGAAGTTGTAATATCTCTAATTTAATTTTGGGTTTTCTTCCTGCCCAGATGAAGTCTACCATTGCTTTATTGATAACCTTAATGTCTTCTGATTTCAAAATTACAAACAGCATGGCTGTGGGATATATTATTTTAGGAAGGATGACCATCTTAACAAGATTTATCCTCCCCAAAAATGATATTGGAAGAGCCCTCCATCTTGTCAGCATCTCGCACAAACCACGAGTCAGTCCATCGATATTTTGCTTATACACTTGGTTAATGGTTGGTGTAACTTTGATTCCTAAGTATACAAATCCTGATGGGGCCCATCCGAAAGGTTTAATATATGCAGGTTCCCTATCCCCCGCCAAGCTGTTCAGGGTCATTATAACAGATTTATCAAAGTTCACTTTATATCCAGATATGTGACCAAAATCCTTAATACATTTAATCACAGCGGGTAATGAGTCAGTTGGATTTGTCAATGTCAGAAGAACGTCATCTGCATAAAGCAGAATTTTGTGCTCTTTTTCCCCAATTTTGACCCCATGAACATCTGGATTTTGTCTAATGGCCATAGCAAGAGGCTCAATGGCCAGAGCAAACAAGAGTGGTGAGAGTGGACTACCTTGAGCTGTGCCTCTCCCCAGTTGAATGGGAGAAGACAACAGACCATTTGTTAAGACAGAAGCTATTGGAGTGTTGTATATTATTCTAATCCATCTCATAAAATTCGGTCCAAACCCAAATCTTCTCATAATTTCAAACATATTCCCACTCAATCCTATCAAACGCCTTTTCAGCGTCCATAGAAACAACCAACCCTGGAATTTGGTAAAAGTTGACGTAATGGATAATATTGAAAAGGCGTCTTGTATTATAATACGAATTCCTCCCCTTAATAAAACCCGTTTGGTCTGCATCTACAATCGAGCATAAAACTTTTTCTAACCTATGAGCTAAAACTTTTGAGAGTATTTTATAATCCACACCTAGAAGGCTGATAGGCCTATAGGATGAACATAACTCAGGATTTTTATCTTTTTTAGCTATAAGTGTTATATTAGCTCTGTACAAAGTCTCTGGTAGTTTTAGTTCCTCGAACGATTTGTTGAACATTCTAAGCAGCAAGCTGCCTAATTTTCCCTTCATTACCTTGAAAAACTCCACTGGAAAGCCGTCTGCACCCGGACTCTTCCCCGACTGAAGTGCAAATATAGCTTTATCTATTTCCACCTGCGTTATGGGAGAATCCAGCAAGTTAACCTGCTCCTCAGAAAGTTGGGGAAATGTTACATCATTTAAGAAAAATCCGGATAACAGGCTTGTCATGTCAATCTCAGAGCTATACAAAGTAGCGTAAAACTCTTTGAAGCTATCATTTATCTTACGATTTTCCATTTGTCTCTGACCATTAGAATCAACAATCGCCGTGATAAAAGATTTTGCAGGGACATTTTTTGCCAGATGAGCCAAATATCGGTTAGGTTTATTAGCCGATTCAAAAAGTCTTTGTTTAGCAAAAAGAATATCTTTCTCAGCCTTATGCATTATTAGATTTTGGAGAGCTGTCCTAGCGCTTTTAAGCTCATTTAATGTTTCTGTAGATTTAGTACAGTAGAATTGATTGTCCAATTGTTTAATATTATTCTCAATCTCTAACCGCCTTGCTAATCGTTCCTTTCTCTTGTGACTTGTGTATGAGATAATAACACCTCTGAGATAAGCTTTATAACTATCCCATAAAATTCTCGAATCAATATTCTCACTATCATTAGTTTCTAGATAAAATGTTGTTTGTTCATCTAGAATACGTACAAATTTGTCATCCAACAAAGATACTGTGCTCATTCTCCACGACGCTGATCGCTCAATATGTCTTAAAGGCTGCATAACCAGTGCTACCGGGGCATGGTCAGAGAGGCCTATAGGGCCTATATTCACCTGTGTAACTAGCTGACAAATACTTTTGGATACAAAAATGCAATCTATACGAGATGCCGACAAGTGTGGCTGAGAGTGAAATGTATATTGTTTAGACAATGGGTTGTAGTATCGCCAGGTATCCACAAGATTGAGCTCTTTCAGAATTTGTAAAAGGGCCTTTGAATTTTTTGTCAAAGTAGTTTGTGATGGTAATCTGTCCATTAGTGGGCACAAAACACAATTAAAGTCGCCTGCTAAAATAATATTGTCACAGTCCAAGTCCACTAACTGAGTAAATAATGTTGTATAAAAACCTCCATCTTGCACATTGGGGGCATATACATTAGCTAGCAGAATACTCTCTCCATGTAATACCCCTTTAACAAGTATATATCTTCCTTCATTATCTTTGGCAGTAGCTATAGCAGTGAAGGGAAGATTTTTATGTATAAGAATAATTACCCCTCTCTTATTCGTAGAAAAGGACGAAAAGAATATTTGTCCCACCCAATCTCTGCAATATTTTTTGTGCTCATCATCGGTCAGGTGGGTTTCTTGCAAAAAAGCAATATGAATCAAATCTTTCTTTAGAGAGTTCAATATGGCCTTTTTCTTTATCACATTGTTGGACCCTTTAACATTCCATGTACTTAACTTAACTGACATGTCTCAAAATAAATATGAAAATTTGTGTGCCGTTTCCAAAATTAACCAAATTTTTAGTTGACCAGTCTGTAACAATTAACAGTGAATTACCATACCAACCAAGATGTATGTTCTCTGTCACCCGGCCCACAATGTCAATTTCGCGCTGCACACCTGTTTCATCTTCGGCATCGCCCATAGGTTTGTTCTCAACGCCATGGCTAGCTACAGCGTCACTGCTGCCAGCTTTAGCTTTACCTCCTCTTTTGCCCATTTCTCTCTTTTTGCTTTGACCAGGCGTTGCAAAAAAATTGTCCAGCGACATTATAGAACTTCAGCTAGCCACTCGAGGCACTTTTATTTTGGTGAAGGAGCTTAAGTATATATTTTAACAAAGTCCAGTGCGGAGCCAAAAAACTCACGTCTGCTCAGCTCGGCGCATCACGTGACCCCCCATCACGTGACCCCGTAAGATTTTTATTTCTATCCTTCTTTGTACTTAAACAACATTTCTCCGATCAGATAACAGCCTGTTTGGTTCAGGACAAAACAACGACTCAGAGGAGAGAAAAGAGAACGGGACCCCAGCTGCCGGCACCAAAGCATCTCCCAAACAAACTCCTGCACGGCCCAGTGCTGCGGGAATCGGGGGACTGTTTGATGATGAGGATGAAGATGATTTCTTTAGTGGCAAAACCCTGAAACAGTCCGACTCCGGTAAGTACACGAAAGTGGCACTCTAGTACCCCACTCGTGGTTGTTAGGATCCTTATTTGGTTATCTGTTCCTTTTCCAGCTACACAGAAAAACCTTAAACCTAAAAGTTCAATTGACCTTTTTGATGAGGATGAGGATGAGGAAATTTTTAGTGGGAAGTTCAAAGCAGCGACTCCAACGCAAAGCAAGAGGGAGGAGGAGGCAAAGGATTATCCCGCAGAGAAAAAGGTTGATAAACACAAATAATCTTTCCAGGAATTTTCTTGTGTTCCATGTTGTCATTTTTGCATGTTACCATGGTGACGGTGGTTTTCATGTCTAGATGCCAGCTGGGGCTAAATCCATGTTTGGGCCTGCAACTAAAAGCCTGCTAAGTGAAGGCTTGAAAAAACGGCAGCAATCCACCAGCGAGGGCTCTGAGAAATCAGAAGAGGTCTGGATTGATGCTTAATTTAGAGTTATTTATATTATTAATCTAACCTAATTGTGGGGGGATTTAAATGATAGGACAATACAGAGCTGAGGACGATTAAATTTTAATCAACATCGGTCATCCATGTTATGTTTAAGATACAGTTATGGAGGAATTTATTCATGAACCAAATTTAGGGAATATGCTTGATTTAATTAACTTCAAATGATACGTGTAGAAATTAAAATAGACAATAAAAAAAGACTTACAAACAATAACATAAAAATAGACAGCATATTTCTCATTCTGGTTTATAAGCCAAACGACGATCCGATGCATCGATACGTCCCTGGAGAATCGATTCATGTTTTTTTTTTTCCTCCGGTCTATTTTTATCCATTTGCTCCTGGACGCAATTCTCCTCCCGTGCTGCGGTGGCGCTAAACCTATTTTGCCCTCCTACCGCGCATCCTGGTTATACTCTTACAGCAGTGTGTTGCAGTGAACTTTACACAGACATTTTTGATTTATGCCCAATATTGAAGCGTGGTCTGAGCTACACGCTGTGGGTCGGCCGAGGTGATGAGGAAGTGGGGGGGCGAGTTTAGTCCGACAACGGAGGGACATGAGGGCCAAAAAGAATCCAGGTGGAAAAAGGGTCCCAGCGTTCTCGCGCACCTCGCTCTTCTAGCAGGTCAAACTTCACGAGTTGTTTTCCGCAATTTTGGTCATAAAAACAAAACAAGCCAGCCTCCTGTCTGCGGTCAGCTACAATTTGGGACAGGTGCAGTGGAGTGTCTGCAGAGGGGGCGGGGACTTCTAGAGCCGAGGTATTGCATTGCACTCATTGCACTGATTTTGTGCAGTATTTTTGCAGTATTTTTTGATGCAACTTTTCTACCTCTGTTTTTTGCAGTTTTTTCTCAAAAAAAAAAAAAGCATAACGATATTCTAGCTTTCATTGATTTATTTCAAATTTGAAACATTGTCTAGCCTGTGAGGTGTACAAAAAAAAAAAAGAACCAATTAATCGAATCGTATCGTGGTATATTCTTGAATAGCGAAAATAATCGAATCGTTGGGTCAGGAAATCGATACTGAATCGAATCGCCATGATGGCTGTGATTTACACCCCTAGTAGGACCCAGTTAAACATAGGTAGGTAACTCATGACACACTTTGAGTGCAAACATGGATAACTAGATCACCTGTGGGATTTTTCCCTATTATGGAAAGAAATGGAAAAGACCATAGTACCAAAATGGTTGTCAGAAATGTGCTGGTGCAGTTGATACATTCTATTCCTGCAGCTCAGTAAGGTTCATGTCATGTTCTGTGGAGATATAAAGCAAATGGCGAATGGGGGCCTTGTATTGATCCCTGAGGTACACCACGAAATAAACAACGGAAACAAACAGTTGTGCTGATTATGTAAACACAACTTTGTTCCACACTATTTAAGACGAAACAAAAAACAGCTTGGGTAATACAGAAGCTTATGTGAATTTTTTTTTTATGGATGAACACGGTTTTTTGTTGTCAAAATAAACCCGATTATTCTGCTACTCGGATACCATAGAAAAAGTAGAGGAGTAAACCTTGGTGTTTCTCATGTCTTTTGAAGCATGTTTGTGTCAAACCATTGCATTATCTTCATTTACCTTTCCCATTACCATTCTTTGTTTTTATATGTTTCTGAGAAAAAAATCCTTAAAGTTTATCCTTAAGTTTTTGTTGTGCTTGTGTGTACGTTTTTTTTGCCTTTATTTTCTACTTCTTTAGTGAAAGGTTAGAATTCATAACTCCAGGATTTTTATTTTTTCACTTCTGCTTTTGTTGTACATCTGAATTTCAGATTGCTTCTGTTGCCACTAATGTTGGAAAAGCGCCAGTAAAGCCGAGGGAAAATCCTCAGCATACAAGCCTGTTTTCTGATGATGAAGATATCCAGGTACTGTTTCCAGTGAGTGTGAAAAAAGAGAACCAAAGATAAACCTGATAATGCATTTTGTATTTTATTTCTTTTTATGAATTTTAGATTGCTCCTGCTGCTGCTGATGTTGGAAAAGTTCCAGTAAAGTCAGCTGAAAATCCTCAGCATACGACCCTGTTCTCTGATGATGAAGATTCTCAGGTACCATCTTCATAGACAAAAATGGAATAAGTCATATAATGCATTCAAATTACAACTTATATACTTTCTCCTCAGTTATTTCCAGGTATCACCAAGAGCCAGTCTAAGCCTGAACCTACACATGTGGCTAAAACCAGCAAGCCCCCGCTGTCATTATTTTACGATGAGGAAGAAGAGGTGAAAATAATTACTTTGCAATAGAAAAAGAAAAAGAAATTGCTTTGTTTAGGTGATATCACTACATGTTTATTTTTTTTGTACCTTGCAGGATCTGTTTGCATCTGCCTCCAGTTCGAAAGGCAAACCTTCCCAAGCTAAAGCCTCGGTACCACATCCCACCAAAGCTACATCCAGCTCCCTTTTTAGTGATGATGAGGTATGAGAATAGAAAAAGTACCCTTTTCTTTTCACTACCAGCATTTCCCTCAAATTTAAAAATATGTTTTTTTTCTGAAATGACAGTATCAGTGGATGAATTCAAACAGTAGCACATCAAAGGCAGACAGTAAACCAGGAGGAATAAAAACCAGCACCAGTGCCCCATCTAATCTCCCAAGCTCTAAAGTATCTCCAAATAGCAGTCTGTTTGACGACAAGGATGATGACGATCTGTTTGCCCAGACAAAGACATCAAGGTTTATACAGTTTGAATCTCTTGACACTTTCCTACTAAAGTTACATTTGATTTAAAATATTTGTAGCTGAGGAACTTTGTGTTACAAATCCTTACATCCCTTCTTGTACTGTTTCTCTTCATAAAGTCAAAAGAAGTCACAGAGGGTATCGCTCCTGTTTGAAGATGAGGGTGATGATGATGAAGGAAAAGACCCTTTGTTTGGCAATAAACCTGCAAACACTGGACCCCCACCTAAAGTGAGTGAACAAACATTTGTTGTATGATTAAAGGAAATTCAGGTTAATTTACACACATTCATTACAATCATTAACAGCAGATGTATTATTAGTATATCTCAGTAATCAGCCTCATATCAGAGGTTGGTGCGAATAATGAGCCATTTCCTCTCCATTTGTTGATTTAAAGGTTTTACTCTAACTCTTATCAACATTTTAATGGTCTTTCAGAAACAGAGAAATGTGTTTTGCAGCCATAAAGTCTGATTTAAAGACATAAAATTAACCAAAAAAAGAGGTGACTTAAATGTTAGAAAAAGAAGGGAGGAATTAAAAGTCTTGAACCAACTTGCTTTTCTGTCTTGACCCGCCCCTATATGAGACTAAGCCGGGCATACACTGTACGATTTTCTTTTTTTTTTTTATCCCTTTTTGGGCCGATTTTCCAGTTGTGCCAGAACTTTTTCGATCAGTCCGAGTTTCAGCCTTATCATGCGTCCTTCTTATACAGAGGGTAACGATGGTCAATTAGCTCTCCAGAGTAAGTAGATTCGTAACCCTGCCTTCTGCTCTCCTCTATCGTGTCTACTGTCATGATTCATGCCGCTATGATTTCATTAAAAATGAAAAATGGGGAATAGATAAGCAGATCATGGCTTATCTATAGTGAAAAGAAGGACTGGGTTATTTACTTTTGTTGACACATTTTTGGAAACAGGAAGGAACAATCAGCTAAGTTAGAATTGGCTTAGTGATTGGAAAATATTTCATTCCTTATGAGACAGCATTAAAAGTCAGCTGAGCACATTGCATATATGAAAAGAAAAGGGGACAATAGAAAACATAAAGGAAAACAGCAAGAAAAGAGATAAGAAGAGAGAGAATAAAGGTAGAACAAATAGTGTATGAGTCTGTTTTATGTGTCGTCTTCTCAATTAAGAGGGCCCCCTACCTGTCTTTGCCTAAGCCCCATATCTCCTAAATCCGCCCCTGCTTTTACTGTATCATGAAGTTAAGAAGTAGAAGTTGTTGCTGCTTAACTCTAGTTCACATTGTACAATTGACAGGCCATATTGGCCACGTCTACACAGCTATTTTCTGGTCCAAATACACTGTCTTCTGTTCTTTTTGAAGCTTTCAGCACACACAATCGCCTAAATTACCAAGGCAACGAGTTTAGCTTTGGTGACCCTCATGTTCCTTCTGTGTTGTCCGACTTTGTCTCCTTTGTCCTCTATTTCAAGTCCAACGTGTGTTTTTGGACATAAAGTGTGAGCTTGTATGCTCGCTTCAGAGCATCGGGTCGCAGTGTGAGAACATGCATCGTGAGCTGTGAAGTTTTAAACCCTGCGGTTTCGTCGTACAGTGTGAGCTGTAGCTGTGTGCAACGATTGAAAAAATCGTACAGATTATGCCAAAGAAATTAGAATATTAACTGGAGCTGCTAGATTCAAGGACAGGAGATATCAGGAGCGGCTGATCAACCAATCAAAAGGAGACTTTGGTTTTAAAGTTTCATACTTTTCCTTTTTGGTATGGCTTCGAGCTGACGTTTTTTTGTTTAGATTTTGCATTAGTAATTTAACTTAATCTTAATATGAATAATATTAAATACATATCTTTTTTTGCACTTTAAAGAATGAATTTTTGAAAAGACCCGCTCACTGCATTTAAAAAAAAAAATGCACATGCACAACCCTGTTCCCGCTCCCATGAGAGAATGCCTGTTAAACAGGTGTGAGAGCATGCACAACAGGGGCGTCTCTAGGTTTAAGAAACAAGGGTGGCTCAGCCCCTAGAAGATAATGCGCGCGCCAAATTTTTTCAGTGCACCTGCTAAGGCGTTGTCTAAGACAAGGGTGTAACTTTGTGTTGAAAGTTGGTGGGGACGGCTCATAAGGAAAGGGAGCTACCTGCGTGACGCCTTTTTTTTTTTTGTTGGAAAGGATAAAGCCAAAAAAATGCAAATAACATTTATCAATTTAATGCTTACAGTTGAAAACATAACTGTTACAATATTCACTTATATATTTTGTGCAAAAAATATCAAATAAATCTAAACAGACAGTACAAATCAAAGAAATCAAATAAATATATCAATTTTGTAGAACATTTATTGACAGTCAATTTTGGGTCACTTTTTAAAATTAATTTACTTTTAAACCAGGACTTGGACAAGATCTTATGGGACCTTAAGCAGAATATGATTAAGCAACTCCGTCTTTCTGTCAAGAACATCCACTAGCAGGGTATCCAGGGGGGGATTTACCATTAGGCAATACTAGGCAGTTGCCTAGGGCCCCAAGTTCTGGGGGCCCCATAAAACTCTGTTTCCATGTATGGTTAATACAACTAATCCTTATTTGTGCACATTAATTATGTTTTTGATAAAAATCCTTTGGCTAAAATGCCATCAGAACGCTGATAAATAGAGAGGAAAAAGGGACAAAACCTAGAACAAATAATGGATGTCTATTCTATTAACATTTCTCTATCTGTAGAATGGGTCTGTTTTATGGGTTTTCTTCTCAGGGGGCCCCCTGCCTGTCTTTGCCTAGGGCCCCAAATTTCCTAAATCCGCCCCTGAGGGTATCAATACTGATTTGATAGAATCTGGGAGAGCGGACTATGTTCAACCATCCATTTTCTTTAACCTTATCCCTCAGTGGGATCAGGAGGTGCTGGTGCATATCTCTAGCTACGTTCTGGGTGAGAGGTGGGATCACCCTGGACAGGTCACCAGTCTGTCGCAGTATGTTCAACCAGCTTAAAAGTAATCGGTAATCAGATTTATTATTTGCACTTTTACTAAGTGAACTTTCTAACTCCCTTAAATCTGAAATTCCAATGCCAAAATTGTTTAAATCTTTTATCTTTGGACCCCCTGCAGAGTGACGTCACACCTGCAGGATCCTATCCTTACCTTCCTGCTAGATTGCAAAAAGCAGCTTGCTCATGAGTTGTCAACATAACACGCTAAATCGTAAATGTACGTGTACATATAAAAGAAAAAGGGGCGCAGTGCTTGCTACTGAATGGCAACACTATCAAAGTCAGGAAAAAGTTTTAAGTAAAGCCGGGATTAAAATAGTAGCTACAAGAAGCTTCAAATAAAAGGTGTTCTTTATGTTCAACCTAAGCACCAACTCCGATAGACCATCAGTAGAGCAGGTGTTTAAATTAATCAATCACTGCTGCGAAAGCTTATAGCAGTGAAAGCTAATATACCACAGCCATCACTTAATAAACGCAAAATAAACAACCCTCTAAAAACGGAAAACTGTAATGGACTGAAAGTCCTGTTTTTTATGTGGGAAATTATTTGCGTGTGTTTTAGTATAATTCTGATATATTGGCGCTGTTGTCTGTTTCTATGGCAACGATACTGAATGTAGTGTAGCTTAGAGATCTGCATGGGTCGAGTTTTACCAACCCGCACCCGCCCGAACCCGTTAGGATGACTACCGAACCCGACCCGTCACCCGCGGATATCTTCAATTCAAATGTTATGGGGAGAGGTTGGAGGGGGGTGATGGGGAGAAAGCGAGAGGCAACAGATTCTTTTTTCTGAGTTTTTTGTCGGGGTTTGTGGACGGTGAGCAGCGGGGAGAACTTTTTTATTTTCTTTCTGAGGAGCGGCATTAATGGGGTTTTAATCAGATATACACAGCACCGAAAGCAAAATACGTGTACAAAATATTGTTGGGGACATGTCCACACCAGTCCTTAAGGAAGTTACGCCTATGATTGTTCAGATTAACTTGTCTTCTTTATGGCTTTTATTCGGTGCTTTACTGCATTTGTTTTGGGAAAATATGAGGAAAAAATAAATACAGAAAAAAAAAAATATTTTTTTTTAAATCGCAAAATAATTATAGGGTGGCTAATGCCAAAGAAAGGGTGACTGAAGCCACCCTTAAATAGGTCTAACGACGCTTATGATGCACAAGCCCATTTCTCTCCAAAAGAAGATTTGTAATTTTTCCACTATGTCAGACTCACAACAGGTGTTATGCCAAGAAATACCTGCCTGCTGAGAATGACCTACCCTCTCACACACTGATGAGAAACTGATTGAAATATGTACGAAAAGGGAACTTTTAAACATATTTTTAATGTTTTCATATTTGTTATGCATGGATGCTCTGAAATTAAGAGTTTTGATGGACACATAAATGCCCAGAAATTCTTGCCTGCTGAGAATTACCTCCCCTGTCGCACGACCACGCATCGCCCTAAACTCTCGCACATAGATGAGAAAATGGATTGAAATATGAATGAAAAGGGAACTTTTAAACATATTATTCATGTTTTGTCAGAAATTATATAGAATGTTGTTGATAGCAAAAGCAGAAAATGCCGTCCACTGAGCAGAGAATATATTCATTGGACACTGACTGTGGCACATCAACTAAAACGTCTCCATACAAGTAAAAATTATACCCATTCAAATGTATCTGTCCACCAAAACTCTCAATTTTAGGACATCCATGCATTAGAAATATGAATATATTAAGAATATGTTTAGAAGTTCACTTTTCATTCATATTTCAATCCGTTTTCCCCTCAGTGTGTGTCAGAGGGGAGGTAATTCTCAGCAGCCAGGTATTTCTCAGCATAACAGCAGTAAGTGAATATGGGGACGAGCACGTAGGACAACCTTACCTAAAAATATCACCAGAATGATTGACAATTAGGGGAACCAGTTATTTTGATGATCCACCCGGAAAACAAACCATTAAATTTAGGCTTGAATTGAAATAATTTGATAAGCAACGCCTACTACTATCAGGTTTTCATTAGTTGCTTTCTCTTCTACTATATTTTTTAATGCTATTTTTTTATTCTTAGTTTGTTTTAGAATGTTTAGAAAACATACAAGCACTCTGTGGGCCTGATCTTGAAACGTTTGTCCATATTAAAACACAAATCAATCTTCATACAAGATGAAAAGCGATTTTTGCGTTTAAAATCAGCAGGCAGCGAATGCAAACTTTTTTGAGTGTTTGTAGCTCTAACTTGTGGTAAATAAGTTTTTTTTTTCTCCCTCAGTTTTGTTTTAGAACATCTACATTTTATAAGATTATTATAAGCTACCTTGTTTTGCATTATATTGGGTCAAGCCAAGTTCTTAAATACAAGGTGTGCAAACATTTAAAAAGAGCTTTTAATTCCCACTGTCCAGCTAAAAAAAAGCTCATGCAGTCCAAATTTAATTCATAATCCACATATTTTTATAATTTGCAGTAATATGGAACAATTTGTTTCAGTTATGGTTTTATGAAAGCACTTTGTACAGATGGTAATTTATGGTTCAAAGTCAAAATGATTACTAAGCTGTATTTGCTCTAATATGCATATTTAAAAGCACGTTATTTTCTTTATCCTCTTTAGTCCATTATTTAAGGGACCAATATGGAAGGTCCAAAGTGTCACTGGAGGTCCTAATAGGAGGCTTCAGGTCATTAACCTCTTCCTTAAATCAACAATCCCTCAGTCAACTGAGCATTGTGTTTCTCTGCTTTTTCTTGTTTAGCTTATTAACTGTCTGGTAACTTGTTGGATATTTGATATATTTTTTTTTTTTTGCATTGCTTCATATTTCTCTCTTATGTAAAGCCTTCCATGTTGCCCTCCTTTAGCATGGAAAGTATGCCTAAAATTGAAATGGTAATTGAAACTTAAAGTATTACCAAGCTGTGCTAAATCCAAAATAAAAGCCGGATTAGATTTAGTATTTCTTACTAAATTCTGCAGAGTCTGAAAGAAACTAAGAACCACAACTATTCCTGAAGGTAGAACTGTCTTGTGCATTATTATTATTATTTATTCAGGCTTTTAAATTTCTAAATGACCAAAAGAAGAATAATCAGATGAAAGCACCCTGTATAAAGCGACATTTAAAAAAAACTACTTTTGAACATAATGCATTAGATGTCCTACAAAGACCCTCTTTAGAATCTATAGATGAAAGCAGTTTGAAGGCTCAGGTTTGTGTGTTCATGCATTCACACGTCACTGTTTCATTATGTATAATTTCCTTAGATACCTGCAGCCACGTCACAGTCCCTAAAGTCAGAGGAAGTTTCAGTGTTTGAGACCCCTGCAAAAAACAAACCTGAAGTTCAGCCGAAACCGGCTGAAAAGAAACCCGAACCACTGCCAACTGTGCCATCACAAGACAGCAATGAAATCCGAAAGAAGCCTGCTGGAGCAGTCAGTCTCTTTGGTGGCATTGACGTTCTCGGCAACAAGCAGACAAAGGATCCTCTGGACGAAGAAGATGAGGATGACATCTTCCTCTCGAAAGGCAGCCCCCCACCAATGTTTAGGACGGAGGAAAAGAAGCAAGACAAAGGCAAAACAAAAACTGTTAGCCTGTTTGATGAGGATGAGGAAGACGAATCAGAATGGAGTGATCCAATATTTCCACCCAGTAAGCCCACAGCAGGAGAAACACTAAAGGTTTGTCTGTTTGTACCAGACCAGAGAGTGCAGCGAAACTGATCCATTTGACGCTTCTGCATTTAAATTGTAATATTTTCTCTCAGCCCACAGAGGAGCAACAGCAGAAAACGAGCACAGGGGTTTTCCAGGATGAAGAGCTGCTGTTCAGTCAAACGCAGCAGAAGGACAATGACCCTGATGTTGATCTCTTTGCAGTTGCAGCAAAAACTGAGGTAGGCACATGTTTCGTTGTTATGCAAATTCAGCCTTAACAATTAGTTCTAAGTTCAGTTCTGAAATTAAAGTTTTATTTATTTATGCTCATATTTCACCACCTAATCATTATAAAGTAAGATTACTGTTCCAGCTGAAATGTATTATTGTTATTTCAGAATCAGACTCAGACAGAATCAGACATACTTTAATAATCCCAGAGGGAAATTACTTATTTGAGTTTTTTTTTTTTTTTTTGGCAAGTGTTTGCAACCTTTGCTGATCTCCCACTATGCAGAAACATCTCGAGGCTTATCCTGTGGTGATAATGATGATGAAAATGTCCTACAGGCTGTGCATAGGACTGTTTTGTTTTCAAAGTTCTGCAAAATAAGCTAGTAAAGTCTTGAATATATTTATGAACAACGCTGTGGTTTCTCTCACCCTGCTATGCGACTAACATGTTCTTCTGTAGGGAGTTACAGATGTTTTCATTAAACAAATATCTTTGCTGAATTTTCAGAACTCTAAGGTCAGTGCGGTGAAACCAGTAGCACACAGTCTGTTTTCAGATGATGAAGAAGATGACATTTTCAAATCTGTCAAGGCAACTCCTCCTCCTCCGGTAACAATATGTTTTTATGAGTTGGAGAAAACTCCATCTATCCTTTTAATAAATAACTAAGCCTGTTTTTTTACTTTTATATCTAGAAAGTTGCCAAGAAACCAAGTAACCCTCTTGACAAAGCACCACTTGCAAGCCCAGATCCTGTTTCAGAGATTCAGGTGACTATGAAATATTTTTTGTTTTAATTTTATTATTGTTTTAATGATATAACACGGCGATAATTTTGTGATTTTTAGAAGTATTATTTGGTTTTTAAATTTGCTAAATGTTTGTTTTTTCTCGGTTTAAAGTAGTTAAGTGCTTTTTTTAATTTCTTTTATTTCCAAGAAATTAGATAAATAGATTTTTTTTTTTTTTTTTATGTTGGATACATTTCTGATCCTGTTGTAATTTAACCACACAGAAATCAGCAACAAGCCATGTAAAACCTAAAGATCCCTCATCAAGGATTGGGAAACTTCAAGTAATTTTCCCCTGCTTTTTTTATTTTTACTCCATCACAACCATTTTATTGCTAACCTGTCACTCTTTATTTTTCTTCTTTTTTTTTTTGCTGTTGTTGGGCAGCTCTCCATTATTGCTGCTCTGAAACATTTTTCCAACTACTTTTTCATTTTCCATTCTAAAACGTTTCCCAAAGCTTAGTAGCCTGGCTTGTCTATCTGGAAAAAACATTTTTCTTTTTTCGAGAAACGTTTTCGTGCTCCTCTTTGCAGCTTTAGCAGTTACTGCTGTCAACTTTTGCTCTTGCACCATTTTCCTCCTCAGCTCTGGCTTCTCGTTTCTCTGAACCACACAGAGGAACTTAATAGTTACAGAAGTGATATAAATCTTTAGTCTTGGCTTTTTACAACTACTGAATGTTCTTGGTGAATGTCAAGTTTACTATCTTGTTAAAAAGAAAACCCACTTGATAAATATTGTTTTTTTTTTAAACTTCAGGCTAATTTGATGATCAACCCTGCTGCTTTGCTCCCTGGTGCTGTGTCCAGCATGTCAGGGACTCTGAGCTCTTCGTCTGGGGTGTCCAGCTCCAGCCTGAGCCCCAGCCCCGTATCAACCCCCATAGGAGCACATGAAGAAAGTGAAGGGGGGGTGAGCTTTGATACACCAGTCCAGGTCACAACCCTCCAGAGTGCACACAAGGTGAGTTCGGAGTTTAGTGTCATCTGTTGTCTTTTAACTGCCTCTGCATTTTCTGCATTACTAGCAAAAATCTCCTCACGCAGGACCGTGCAAAAGGTTCGGCTCTCCGAAGACCCCAGTCCAGAGCGGCAAGGCAGCAGGCGGTTAAAAAGTTGATGGGAGACAAGGTTCAGGGCAAAGGAGATGATTTTGGGCCAAGTCCGAGTGTTTCCAGCTTATTCGTACCCACATCTGACGAGTCCAGCAACAAACCCATAAGCCCAACATCACCTTACTCATCTCAACTTTCAACCTCACCCATGCCCTCACTTTCACAACCGTCTTCCTCTCAGACCTCCTCCAGGCCCTCGGAGCTGTCACTGCCAGTATCGGCAAACTCAGGAAGTAAAGACTTCAGTAAAGACAGCATCAGTACGAAGAAACAACTATTGTTAGAAGACGATGACCTCTTTGATTCAGACGGTCTTTTTGGGCCTAAAACGGTCCTTAACAATCCCCCCCCTAAAGATACCACCAAGGCCAGTGATCAAAAGGCTGCTAGTGAGGCAGCACTGAAGAAAGAAAAAGATCCCAGCAGTCTTCCATCTATTTTTGATGACAACACAGATGACCTGTTCAAAAAGGTTAAACCGCAGTCTGTGACAAAGAAAGTTAAGACATCGCCTTTTATGGATGACGATGATGATGATGACGACATATTTGGACTTAACAGCAGTAGCACTACTACACCCAAATCTAATAAGAAAATCAAGAATGGCAGTAGTACTTCAACACCAGACATTTTTCAGGTAGTATAACAGTTTTTTTTTATTTTATTCTTGAGGATTTTATTAAGGCTTCTGTGTGTCCGGGTTTGATTTGACTCCTCTTGCTGAATTTCTTTTAAAGGACGAAGCCACCATTGTGCCTAAAGCTGACAAGAAGCTCAAAGAGAAAAGCATTGACGCTACCTTGCTTGACAACACTGTGGATATTTTTGCAGACCTGACAGACACTTTTAAACCAAAACAAAAGTCCAAACTAAAGGGAGAGACCAAGTCCATATTTGATGATGACATGGGTAAGCCTCAGTGACACATCCACAGCCTTCTGTGTTCCACATCTTCATGAAGAATAAACTTAATTTATTTTATAGTGATTTTGAGTGATACGCCAATGCACAACTAGTGATGTGTAATGGTTAAGTGGGGGGAAGACGATGTATCCTACAAATATTTGTTCTAAGGTCCAACTACGTCCTCAGTCAAGCTCAGCAGCTCCCCACTCTCACTGTGAGCATTGTAAATGAAGCACTGCTTCCCCCCCTCTAAAGTCAGAAGACAATTTGACCAATAATTTTTTTTTACAATAAATTAGTAATACCTAAGAAAACCTTAAAATATTGTTTAGAGTGTCATGTTTGGTTTACTTACATATTTCTGGACACTTATTTAAATAGCATCTGTGATTCTGTTGAGGAAGCATGATCCATGCCAAGATTAAAAAAGGGGAGATTTAAGATTTTTAAAGGAGATTTTTTTAAACAAAAAATATATTTTTGTGCCCTTTTAATTATATATTTGTTTTATCCCTTTATTTTTACTATTGAAGCTCTTGAACACCATTTATGACTTACCCCTCCTCTTAATGATTATGCACAACTTTGTGTGAGTGTATCACATTCAATCTAGCAGTAAACTTGGACTTTTGAGGTTTAAATGTGACAAGATTTAACAAAAAAAGGTACCTTAGTGAGGCGCTATAGATCATCATTTGTCTTGCTTTTTACTTTTATTTGTCATATTTTAACATGTTTTCACCTCTTTGCACTTAAAGATGACATTTTTACAACAAGCACAGCAAAGCCGGTGCCGAAGGCCCCTGATAAATCAGAGAGAACTCCACCAGCCAAGGAGACCAGTACTGCATCGGATGCCAGCAACATATTTGATGACCCTCTTAATGCTTTGGGTGGGAACTAATGTGTTGGAGTGGCCTGAATTTGTATGATTTTGGATCTTTCTGCCTCTTCATTAGGTGATCAAGAAAAGATATCTGACGCACTGTTGATAGTATATTTATTGCTATAATATATCAGTATGTGGCTTATTCGTGTCTGATACAGACTATAATTAATATGATTCCATTCATCTTTCAGCAGTTTGCAAAATTATCCTGGCATCATTGGTAATATAACTGTTTAGTCTTTATAATACATTATAGCACTTTATAAGCATACATTATGCTTAGTCTCAAGGCCTGCAGAAATTAAGTTTTTGTTTAATTTGAGTTTTGAGATGTCATGTCTTTAGTTTTGTGCCATATCATTCATAATGTCTTAGTCATTTTTGAAAATGTTTTTAAGAATTTCATCCATTTCCTAACTTTGACGATGATAAAGACTATGATTTTTTTTAATGACTAAAATGAAACATATTTTATCTGATTTGTCCTGTCCATTATTTCCAATGTAAGGGGGTGTTTAATTAGTTAGTTGGTGTCATTGGACCCATTTTATTTATTTATTTATTTTTTTTGGAAAGGTAGTTGATATCCAAATCCTTTCAGGAGAAACTTACACTTTACAGTCAAAGAGACACTATATAAACATATGGATGTTTAATATCAATGATACTGATGTTTTTAAACAAATGTATCAGTTACAGTAATGAAAAGACCTGTTTTAACCTGATAAATGTAATCATGGATAAAGCAGATTATGCCTCGGAAGCCATAATATAACTTTAAGATGGAGATTATAACTAACCCCTTAACAGGACAATTGTAAACAACATCCTGAAAACACTAACAGAAAACAGAAAAATATCCTGCCTCTTCTTCCACCAATTACCCCAGCTACATCAAAAATACTGACCTTCTCCAGAACTTAGCAAAATTTAGGGAAGTCTCCTTTTCACTGTGTTTGCAGAATATTTCTACACAAATATTTAAAAAGAGAAATGGAAGAAATCTGAATAGCTGCAGGAAAACCTAGACCCACCAGTAAGGTTAAATCCTTAAGGTTCTTAAACTCCACTAAGGCAACAATCACTTCCTCTTTTGTGGTTCCTGTAAATCTGTGATTGTAATTGGACAGAAGTCTTCACCAGAAATTTACATGGAAACGAGAAGCCTTCCATATATGTGAAAGACTACTGGAGGTCTACTACTGCCTTCTCAGCCACTGCTAACGTGAAAGAGTTATGCCGGTCAAATTATGAAGACTGTTATTCTGATTCACAGAAGTTTGATTTTGATGGGGATGTGAAAGGAGGAAGTCCTTTTAGTTCAACTAGTATCCAGTGGTAAAACTGAAGTTTGACATAAAGAACTCAGATTGAGCCGCTGACTTCTGCAGGAACTTTTTTTATGGACAGACCTGTTCAAAATGTAAGAACTGGACCCCCTTAAATATCAATAAGCCACCAAGTACGACACACTGGCTGAAAATTAAGAACTAGGAATTCCAGGGCTGAATCAGAACCCAAATCTCACTGAGAGGCATAACAGGCTGTAGCATGACTTCAATTTAGCCTTTTATGCACTAATTCCTCAATTTCAGAGGTGAAAGTAAGATAAAGATAAAACTTTTCTCAGACAGAAATCAGGCGATTAGTGGTTCCGTAATTTTAATAGTATGAAATCCGGTTGAGCAGTGTCCCCATCTTTGCCCTCAGTTTAAAAATTTGTATTTTATTTATGTGTTGCTTAATGGATAAAAATCTTCATACAAGTGCAATAATATAAAAAACATTCCTCATAATCAACTAAATTGTGTCTTCATATTTTCACTACGGTTTAACATTACTTTTAAAAGTAGGTTTATAGTAGTTAAGTCGTAAATAAGGAGGGATTTCTTTAGCCCCAGCCCATTTTGTCTTTCTCTATTGGCTCATTTCTAAATCAATCAAAATACGTCATTGAGGTGTCGTTCAGCCCCGTTTGACAGGTAAAAGATGTCGCAAACCAACAAACAACGGCGACGCTCACAAATGTGTATCTTTCGGTCTGTTTCGGGATTAGTTAGACTTTAAAGTTATGTTGCTCAGCTCTCAGGGTAGCCTCGCCCCCAACGGCTAGAGCGGACGGACGGAGCCGAGGCCAGTTTGGATGTAGCCTAGCAGCAGCCCGTGAAGGGAAGCCATTGTTTAAGTTGTTGGCTAACATGGCAACGGCAGCTAACGTTAGCTGCCTCGGCTAGATGGGACTTACTGGTAAGTGGGATTTAACTAGAATATTCAGTTGAATATCGAGACGAAAGATTTAGTTAAACGACTGCGTGGTAAAAACTGCCATATAAAATGTTTTTATTGAGGTCAAGTGATGAAATAACACACATAGGGCCGGAATTCATTCATGTCCTGTTTTTTTTTTTTTTGTTAGCAACATTTTTATGTCCTCCCACTTAGCTTTAGGTTTCCTTTGGTTGTGTTGCGGCCAAGCTCTTTAGTTTTCTGGGGTCGTTTATAAAACAAGCTGTGTTTAATAATGGAAATAGTTCTCTGATATGTTGACTTACATTGTTCTTTAGACAATGGGCCTGTTTTCAACTCAATAGCGCTTGTAATATATTTAAGGCCTCAACCCACCATACACAATCTAAGAAAAAGTTCATCTAATGTTTGGTTTGATTTTTATTTTAATTCATGAGTGTTTTTCTTTCTTCTATGTAATTTTTTTTGTGTGTTTTTACAAGATTTTTTTATCGCATTCCATTTTACGCATTCAGGTTATTTTGCAGATTATGGTTTATCTTGTCTAACTTAAATGCCACTCAAATGTGAGGTTTTGATTAAATACGAAATTATTTTAGTTGTTTGGTTAAAATCTAAATTTTAAAGGAACTTTTTATGATTTTTATTTTAATTACTTTTGTAATGTATGAATGTAATGTATTAATAACCAAATATAAAACTCTTGCAAAAGGTAAAGACAAAAGTTGATGTTTTTTTTAAGGGGGGTACTAATCTGACTTTTCCTTGCCAGCAATCTTAAGGTAAATGTATAAGTTTTGATTGAGATGGTTTTGAATCCAACAGAAAGTGAATGAATAGATGTTATAGTTTCTGTCCCATTATTTATCTGATTTCGCTTCTTTCTGTTAGTCTCAATGTGTATCAAAGTTAGAGATGCAAGATATGAAAGCAATTCAAGATTAATATTGGTTTACTTTTCCTTATTTGAGCTGCTGATCATCAGTGAGAGCTGATTATTGAACATTTGGCCTTTTTGTTTTCTCTCTGATTTTTATCTTGTCTTTTAATTATAAATAATGGTTGGCTGGGGCAATATTATATTTTTTTTTATCAATAACAATTTAAAATTCAAATATGCTTACATGTGACCAACATTAAAATGTTAGAACTCAATTAAAAGCATGTTTGTCGTGCTCTACTGTCCCAATAGTTTACATCATTTACTACTTGTTTTATTCAAGGGACACACAAGGTGATCCATCAGTGGCTCAGGTCAGCCACGGACACATTATACCAGTGAGCTTATGCAGCTCACCTGATCTACTTGAATTTTGGCCCTGGGGCATTAATACTTTGCTCAATGTTTAATGAGAAATTTCAGTCCATTTGCTGCCAGATGTACTAAACCTGAATGACATAACAAAATCCCTGTTTAGTACCTGGAGAGTAGTTTCAATGCAAACAAAAAATGAAACCAAAGCCTTTTGCACTTACCTTATCCACACTTATCATTTTTTACTGTATTGAAATTAAATCAATACACATAGTCTATAGTCTACAGACTAACTTAAATAGACATTTAAAGTTTCCTTTAAGAAAATAGGGTATAAGAAAAAGTATTGAGCATCGACCACTGTCGGCCAGACGGTATACCGTGAAAATCGTCCTTTATAAAATGAATTAAAAACCACTGATCAAATTTCTAAAGTGGTGTGAAAAGGCTAAATCCAAGCCTTTTCACACCAGTTAATGGATGCTCACACTATCAATTAAGGAAAACGGACAGATGCCTTTCTCACTCTGACAGATATTTATGTCTTTACTTACAGCTGAGGTCCTCCTTCATGATGCTTGTCTATAGCGGGTGGAGGCAGCAGTCCCTCTCTCCATCACCTTGGCTCAGCCTTACCTCTCCATCAACCCTGTAAAGTGCGTCTGTCGTTCTCCCACGATGACAAACAGGAAAGAGCCTCCTTTCTTTAATGACGACAGCGTGGGAGCTTTTCAGTATAAGCTTCCATTCTACGATACTATGGAGCTTTTCATAGAGACCCTGACGGGAACTTGTTTCGAGCTGCGTGTATTGCCCTTTGAAGCTGTCCTTTCAGTCAAAGCGAAGATCCAAAGGCTGGAAGGTACAAGCCTCACTCGTTCAAGTCTTCCATGTTTGTCTACTGTTAGGAGAAGTTGTATATTTGTTTTGTACTTAATAAAATAATTGTAATCACAACCTGAGAAAAGAATACCAATTGCATGAATTAGTAACCCTAGTTGCTCAGTGTCTTTAGGATATGCATGTTTGCTTTGTCTGTGCCTTATGTTAAATTGAAGCAAAGCTTTTTACAGTGCGTAATGGCTCTTAGATTTGATCTAAAATTTATTTTGTAATTTTATAGTTGATTTGTTAAAGATGAAGATAAATTTAGGTTTCAACTTTTTCAAAGTAGTTTGCAACATTGGGAAGTTTTAATTTGCTTCTGATACTCTAACTTTCTCAAGCTTTGAATTTTAAAGCACTGCAAATTGTGTGTGCCTGTTGAAGCACACCATATTACCAAGTGTTCTATTGGTGTTAAAAAGCCAAAGGTGATTTTAATGAAAGTAAAAGGTAATTGCAACATGGCATGAATAAAAAAAAAAAAAAATATATATATATATATATATATATATATATTAAATATACTCTTCTGACCAAAAAACTATTTTATATATTTTAATTGCTTGGCTTTTGTATAAAATTCTTATGTTAATAAAAAAAAGTTATATAGTGCAAATTAATAATTTAAATGTCTGCAAAAATAGATGTAGGATCTGATTTCTTGAAAATAAAATGAAAATAATAACAAATACTAATTTTTTTAAATTATAAACATAACGCCTATTACAACTAGAGTAATATTTTTAACACTAACTTTTTTGACTTTGGCCTAATAGACCTCAGCATCTTAGCTGTTAGTCTGGTCTGCAGTTGACTGCATGAAAGACATGTTACATAGAGGTTGCCATTTTAAAAAAGTGTAACAATAATGAGCCTGAGAGGTGGAGCACTGCTGCTTTTCATGCAGTGATCCATGTTGTTCTCAGTAGTATTTTCAGGCAGACATACAGGTGCTGGTCATAAAATTAGAATATCATGAAAAAGTAGATTGATTTCAGTAATTCCATTTAAAAAGTGAAACTTGTATATTATATTCATACATTACATACAAACTCATATATTTCAGATGTTTATTTTGTTTAATTTTGATGATTACAAATGACAACAAATGAAAATCTCAAATTCATCATATCAGAAAATTAGAATATTACTGAAGACCAATAAAAACAAAGGATTTATAGAAATGTTGGCCAACTGAAAAGTATGAACATGAAAAGTATGAGCATGTACAGCACTCAGTATTTAGTTGGGCCTCCTTTGGCCTGTATTACTGCAGCAATGCGGCGTGGCATGGAGTCGATCAGTCTGTGGCACTGCTCAGGTGTTATGATAGCCCAGGTTGCTCTAATAGTGGCTTTTAGCTCTTCTGAATTGTTGGGTCTGGTGTATTGCATCTTCTTCTTCACAATACCCCATAGATTTTCTATGGGGTTAAGGTCAGGAGAGTTTGCTGGCCAATTAAGAACAGGGATACCATGGTCCTTCAACCAGGTACTGGTAGCTTTGGCACTGTGTGCAGGTGCCAAGTCCTGTTGCAAAATGAAATCTGCATCTCCAAAAAGTTGGTCAGCTGCAGGAAGCATGAAGTGCTCTAAAACTTCCTGGTATGTGGCTGCGTTGACCCTGGACCTCAGAAAACACAATGGACCAACACCAGCAGATGACATGGCACCCCAAACCATCACTGACTGTGGAAACTTTACACTGGACTTCAAGCAACGTGGATGAAGTGCCTCTCTTCTTTTCCTCCAGACTCTGGGACCTTGATTTCCAAAGGTAATGCAAAATTTACTTTCATCAGAGAACATGACTTTGGACCACTCACCAGCAGTCCAGTCCTGTTTCTCTTTAGCCCAGGCAAGACGCTTCTGACGCTGTCTGTGGTTCAAGAGTGGCTTGACACAAGGAATGCGACAGCAGAAACCCATGTCTTTCATACGTCTGTGTGTGGTGGTTCTTGAAGCACTCACTCCAGCTGCAGTCCACTCTTTGTGAATCTCCCCCACATTTTTGAATGGGTTTTGTTTCACAATCCTCTCCAGGGTGCGGTTATCTCTCTTGCTTGTACACTTTTTTCGACCACATCTTTTCCTTCCCTTCGCCTCTCTATTAATGTGCTTGGACACTGAGCTCTGTGAACAGCCAGCCTCTTTAGCGATGACCTTTTGTGTCTTGCCCTCCTTGTGCAAGGTGTCGATGGTCGTCTTTTGGACAACTGTCAAGTCAGCAGTCTTCCCCATGATTGTGTAGCCTATAGTCGGGGCAGTCGTGGGTGAGCGGTTAGAGTGTCAGACTTGGATCCCAAAGGTTACCGGTTCGACTCCCGACCTGCCAGGTTGGTGGGGGGAGTAATTAACCAGTGCTCTCCTCCATGACTGAGGTACCCTGAGCATGGTACCGTCCCGCCACACTGCTCCCTTGGGGCGCCATTGAGGGCTGCCCCCTTGCACGGGTGAGGCATAAATGCAATTTCATGGTGTGCAGTGTTCACTTGTGTGTGCTGTGTCACAATGACAATGGGAGTTGGAGGAGTTTCCCAAAGGGCTTTTCACTATTTTCACTTTCACTATAGAACTAGACTGAAAGACCATTTAAAGGCTTTTGCAGGTGGTTTGAGTTAATTAGCTGATTAGAGTGTGGCACCAGGGGCCATCAATTTTGAACCTTTTCACAATATTCTAATTTTCTGATATGATGAATTTGAGATTTTCATTTGTTGTCATTTGTAATCATCAAAATTAAACAAAATAAACATCTGAAATATATGAGTTTGTATGTAATGTATGAATATAATATACAAGTTTCACTTTTTAAATGGAATTACTGAAATCAATCTACTTTTTCATGATATTCTAATTTTATGACCAGCACCTGTATTAACCTTTCTTGTTAGCAAGAGTCGTCATTGCCCTTTTTTGTATTTGCCAGTTGACCTGCAGTGCAAAGCAGCAGTACTCAATGTTAAGCAAGGCACATCTATTTAAACATCAGATTTCAGTAGCACAACAATTGAAATTTCTGTGCATAAGAAGGAAAAGGACAATTAAGGCACAAGTCATTTGAGAAAATTAAAATGAATTTAAAAAGGAAGGTTGGACTGACAACTTCACTAGTTACCTTGTATAGTTCAGTCAAAGGCATCACCAAACAAATACGTTTTAATCTTAATTTAAAGCTACTCTGGGTTTTAGCACTCACATTTCTGGGAGTTTATTCCAGATTAGTGGAGCATAAGACCTTAAAGCTGCCTCATGCTAGTTAGTGGTTTTGCAGAGTAGATTAGAGCCAGAAGACGTGAGGAGTCTTGGTTGATACACTGAAAACAAGTCTTAATGTATGTTGTTGCAAAGCCATTCAGTTTAAGGTCTATACTCCGATATTAAGAGCCAGTGTAACATCTTTAAAATTGGGGAGATGTGCTCCATTTTCTTAATTTAAGTCAGGAAAAGGGCAGCTGTGTTCAGGTTCAACTGCAGCTGTCTGTTAAAATTTTTAGGCAAACCTACGAAGATTTTTATGCAGTACACATCTTTGTTTTTCAAGATCCTGCTAAGATATTAGTGCTTTAATCCTGGAGATGCCTCTAAAGGTCCAGGTCTTATTCCATCTCTACAGCCAGGTTTCAAACCTGTTTGGTGGTTTCTAGCTGTATTAACTGAAGCTGTGTGCAAATTTTAAACACTTTTCTCTTAATAGAGGATTCTTCCATCTAGGATAATTCTTTAGCTTTAGTGAGGAAGCACACGGTGCAAGCTTTAAGATGCTTTTCTCTGAGCATGCTGCTCTGCAATGTAAGCTGCTGTTGATTTGTCAAGACTGACCTCTTAACCCCCAGCCTCAATACAAAGCTGGGTCAGTCTGGGAAGGCCCAGACTCTCTGGTCTAAATCTGACTGGACCAATCACAGTGCGAGAGGTGGGGGTTTAAGTTTGGCCACGAATTACCCATAATGCAGCATTGCCTTTCTATAACCATAATGGTAAAGACTGCAAATCCAACAAAGCTCTATATTATGTCAGCAATGAGCTCGATATATCTTTAACATTTATACAGCTGATTGTGCTAAGAGATTCTCTTGCAAAAAAAAAGAGACATGTTTTTGTTCCATCAATTGCTACCCGAATGGTTCTAACTTGTTTCTGGTTTCTTTTTTAATCCTGCCTTTGAAATCGGGCTCTTTTCAGATGGGACTAGTCCAGTGGTTCCCCAACCTGCTCTTCAAGTACCACTGCTCTGCATGTTTTAGATGTCTCTCTGTCTCAGCACACCTGATTGCATCATATCCTTAGCTGCCATCAAGAGCTGCAGAAGCCTGTTAATCATTTGTTTATATGTCAGGTGTGTGGCAATGAGGAGACATTTGAAACAGCAGGGTAGTGGTACTTGACGACTAGGATTTACTCACTCTGGACTAGTCAGTTTGGTTAATCAACCCCAGCATTGAGTCGGGGGTTCACTGACTCGGATGGCTTCCTACTCATCCATGGACCTAATGTTTTAATCTGGGTTCTGTGGAAAACACAATGTAACTTTTTGATTCAAATGAATATTATAGAAAATAATGATGTTTTCACCTTGGCTTTCTTGGCAGATGTCTTATTTTGTCTTTAGGGGGCAGGCATGAGTCACTTATTGTTGTCCATAAAGGGCCTGTTCCATTAGTCAAACTAGCAAATGAAATCTAAACCTATCCTTGTGACCTTTGGTTGTTCTCTCTCTCCTCCCCTCTCTCTGACTGTATAAAGGTATCCCTGTTGCACAGCAGCATCTTATCTGGAACAATGTTGAGCTGGATGATGATCATCGTCTACATGATTATGGGTAAATCTATACTTCATGTCTTTTGGAGGCCTGACACCTATGCCAGAATGCTCTTCCTAATCTGTGTACATTTAAAGTCATTAGATAAAACTCTTGTGTGTAAATAACCACCCCCTCCTCAATTAAGGCACAGTTTCTAAAGTAGAAGAGCTGAAAAAATAGAGCTGTTCTGCAGGATATTTCGAGAATTTGCTCTTCCACTCTTATCATTTTGTCATGTAGTCTCTGGTGCTCTGCCAGCTGCAGCTGGTGGGTTTATGTTTATCCCTAATGTTATGGCCAGGCTCCTTCATCACACTACAGCATGCTTTTAGAGTTCAGAATAATAATGAAGCAGTTCCAGTAAAATTCCCACTCTTGAGTTTCCCAAGATCATTTCCTGTCCTGGAGTGTTTGGGTTGATTCATAATACAGATTTTTTTTTCTTCTTTTTTTCTCAAATTAAATTTGTATTCTATTGTTACAGAATTGCAGAGGGCTGCACATTGAAACTTGTTTTAGCCATGAGGGGAGGACCAATTAACACCAGGAGGGGTAAGGCATTCCAGTGATCTTCACTGTTGAATACAATTCCATGAAATGCACCCCTTGGTTTTTAACCATTGAATCTCTCTTGCTTTTTATGTTAGTAACTCTGGAGGATCCTGTCAAAGAAGTGGCTGACCTGATGGAGAGCACAAAGGAAGACGGCTGGGACAAAAATCAAGCAAATAAGCAGGTCACGTTTCTTGTGTATCGTGAGGGCGACCAGCTGAGCTTCTTCCGATTAGTTGACCGGGGAGACGGGACCCTAACTCCTCTCTCCGAGTCTCTCAGGTTGGTTTTATTGTTTAGCACCATTTCAATATGTCCAAATACTAAATAAAGTTTCTATACACCAGAAAGGCATGCCAGAGCTGAAAACATCCAAAAAGAAATGTCTTTATTATTCAGACGTGGGGGAATTTAATTGTGACAGTGACAAGAAGACAAAAGTAGTTTATATGAAAGGAACAAAAATTGCAATAAACATGTTTTTTTTTAAACATTTTCAGGCCGGTTAAGAAAATATTAAGAAACATCAAGGGATTTAGAATCTGCAGCATGTTCATTAACATCTATTGAACATGTTGTGAGAAGCAAGGACTAATAAGTCTAACTTCAGCTGGAAAGAAAGGATCTGTGGAAACGCTCCTTTATAGAACTAGGATCAGCAAAGTAAATCAGTTAAGTTGAATTACTGTAGATGTCATCTAAGTTAAACAGAAGTGATTCAGTAATTAAAGGCTCCCACATACTTGCATGGACTCTGCACTTACTGTATGCCATGCAATTGTAAGGACGTGGGGGTCTTTATCCATTAATGCGTTTGCTTCCCAAATTTGATTCATGATTGTGTAAAAGAGATCTTAAAATTCTTGCTGTATTGAGCAGAAATTCTGCTACAACGCAAAAGTAGAACCAGGAAAGATTTGATCCAGTCTCCAAATTGAAAGCCAGAAAGCTCAGCATGTCAGTCAGATGTTTTTTTTTTTTTTTTTTTTTTTTTTTTTTCTTTCTGAGAATTATGTTAAGCCTCCTATGCAGTAAGTGCTTTCTAAACCCTGCTTAGAAAAGTAACCAAAAAGAACTAAGACCTAGCTCCCTGGAAAAATAAAAAAAAATGCTATGCCTCTTCGTTCCCTTTGCATTTTTATACATATTAATTGTAAACTTGCTTTCCATGTGTTTTAGCGGAGGCTCAGTGTTCAATGTTCACACTGAGGAGGATGGAGAGAGTCCCGCTGTTGCGCAGCATTGCCTCGAGAACTCAATCACCATGACCAAAATGAAGCTGCTTAAAGCCAAGATGGAGGACATGAATCTTAACAAAAAGGTAGTTGGATTGAAATAAAATAAAATAAAAACCTGCAAAATGCTTAAATGTTTTTCTCCTGTAGATATTTTAAAGTGCATTGCAAAGGCATACAAACAGCAATATACAGTTTCTATTTTTGAATGTATTGAATGATTATTTTACTAAGGGGATTAAGAAAACCTCTTTTTAAAAAGTTTTTGAACAAATTCAGATGTTTTAGACATTTTGGCTTCCTTTATTTTACATTTTAATAAAGACCAATTGTTTAATTTTAATATCACATTAGTTATGCTCAGCAAGGACAGAAGTGGGTATATTGTGCTTCATAGAAAGCAGCTGAGCTGCAGTAGTTTAACAGTCTACCTGTTTAACTCATCAAACCGCTGCTGTGTAATGCAGGGTAACAGGCCATGTAAATCAATGATATTTAACACCTGCTGAAATATAGACATTTGTCTTGTTTTGCATTCCAGAAGTCTGCAAAAGTAACACCGCTGTCCACTCCTGACACACAACCTGGCACCAGCTTTCTTGGACCTTCCACCACACAGCACCTTCATCGCCTCTTTCGCACCCTCCCACAGATCAACCAGCCTTGGCAGACAAATGCCCCACTACCTCCCATCGTGGAGCCCAAACCCACAGACCCCTCTCCTCCCCCTACTGCAGCCTCTGCCCATGTAACCATCCACAGACGCTCTCCTCCATCTTTCGCATCGTCTTCATGTTACATGCTTCAGGAGGAGGAACCCTGGGAGACGGGCCCACCGTTTACAAAGATCCGCCCACCTCCAAAAGTGTCCCGAATGGACATTGGCAGCAGATTGATGAAAGACTGTGTTTACCCTCAGCTCCCACCACTCTGCGCTAGGGGCGCTCCTGAATCCCCCTTTGACCCAGTTGAGCCTTCAGTGGAGTCAGTCGGGCTCAGTATACTGGAGGAGCCAGTTGGTCTTGTTGTCCCGGCACAGTCGGGGACGTCATTTGGAGAACTATCAGACCCTCTAAGCTTGGATATGTCCATCCAGCATGAGGGAGGCCATCAGACCATTGATGTAGGGGCTCAGCACCAGCTGCCACACTCCCCCTCCCCACTCTGTCCCTGGACTCTTGGCCCAAGCGATGCTCTCACCAGCAGAGCTGACGGAACACAGCTCGGCACATCGGTTCATATCAGCCCTACTTCCACATTACCTGCTTCCCCTTCACCATCAACCAGAATGCTCTCTCAGCCTTTTGACCCAACACTTTGTATACAGTCCAACCTACAAGCACAATCCTCAGCAAAGCCGGGCAGCATATCCCCACATCCCCCAGCCTCCTTATCAACTCATCCAGCACGCCTCCGTGGTGTCAAAGTAGAGTCCTGTAGTAAACGTCCAGAACTTATTTCTAAAAGAGAAGCAAGAGGCATCACTAAGATGGTAAACCAAGCCTGTAAGGAACCTCTGGGGTCTGTGAGCAACTCTGAGCTCTTTGCATCCCTCTCAACACAAGCTCCTGACAATAGCAGCAGACAGAGTCTTGGAGAGAGTCTGGGCTTTTCACTGACGCTACCTACTGCAGCTACTGCCTCAGGACAGAGCAGCCTTAGCTCCAGGCTGCAATCCATCCCTACCAACAAGTTTTTTCAGGAAGACCTCTTTAGACCAATGTCACCACTGCGCCGAGCTGCAGCTTCTTACAGGGTGAGCTGATGCAATCACTAATAGCTGCTATAATTGACATTTTCTATGTCCATTTTTGGTACTTCTTTTTCCAACTGCTCTTTTGACTTTCTGTATTTGCCTTTCTCTGGTTTAAATATGTAGTAACACCTACCTAAAATCATTCAATCTGATTCTTTTGCCTATTTCCATCTATTTCCAACATTAATTTAATGGTTAATTTACATTTACTCCTGTTTCTCTTTCCTAAACACAAAAAAACAAACAATTTTCTTATTCTTGCATTTAAACATGTTTATCTGCTTATTTTCTGTTTTTAATAATTTAAAAGTCAGATATAGATCTGTACAATATATCAAACTAAAGTAATCATAAAGACATCTATGTGTGCAATCTCAAAGAGCTGCTGTGAATGTAAAATATGGCATAATTGAATTCAATGTCACCCTTTTCAATTATATCACACCCGCTTACTTTTCTAATATGGAGATAAATGGTAGCAATGAATAGAAATCATCAATTAATAGATTTACTTCATTGCAATTAATTTTATACTCCGTATTTTAACCTCATTCCGTTTTTTTCTCCATATTTTGAAATCGACTCTTTTGAAATATTACTGAAATGTGAATAATAAACCCTGATTAAACCAAAATGCTGCAAGTGGATGATATTATTTAAGCCTCAAAACTAAATTGTTTCAACTGCTATTCTTAAATTGAAAGGTGTAAAGTCATGTTTAGAAAACATCCCACTGGCAGCACTAAACACACGGTCAAGATGAAATGTTCCATGCCTAACTTTAATGTCATAGCTGGAAAAAAAAAAGTCAAGCACCTAGGGATGTCCCAATCTATTCTGATATAAAATATTGGCCAATAACTAATATAATATTATACCCGCCCACAGGTAAAATCTGCTATTTTCAGTAAATAACTTGATCAAGGATTTTCTCCCATTCTTCAGTACAAAATGGTTTAAAAAAAAGTTTGATTCATGTAAATATCATAAGGGGTCAATATCCATATCGTCCAATTCTCAGGGCTGCAACATCTGTATCATATCTGAAATGGAAAGTTTTATCGGCACACCCTTAAAAACGACCAAAACTACAATGAAATCACCAGCAGCGGGAGAAGTGGTGTTCTTTTTCTGTAGATTTGAATTTGATCCTTTTAAAAGTTTAACACAACAGTTCCTTGTATTGATGCTCTTTAATTTTTTATTTTTTTTTTATTTTCAGACCAATAACTGTCTGGCATCAGCTGGAGGAGTCATGAGTTCATTTGGGACAGTAGGTAAGGAAGGACTACAAAAAGAAGATGTAAACTACAAAAGCATATCTTGAGCCTTTATGAATACTGCCGTGTTTCAATGAGAAAATAAAGTTTTTCAAGATTTAGGGCAAAACTCTGTGACATTTGTATGAAAGAACCTATCTGCAGATGTTCTGTTTCTCGCATTTCTTGTTTTTGTAAAGCTTTAACCTGCTGTGACTAATTTGTCTGATTTCTCTTTAAGAAAAACAGTCAGAAATATGTATTTCTGTTCTCCACACTCGTAGCACCTGATGATTATTTAAACTAGGAGCAGTTCCAACTGTGTGGAAGTGCAGTCTCTGAAGTAGTTTTACAAACTCAAGACAAATTTATCTGCAGGTATTTTAAGCTTTGTGAGTAAATTTGTAATAAATCTATTAGTCAACACTTCTATAGACTAATACCTAAACTGAGGTTTCCGAAAGACTGTTTAAACCCCAAATTTAGCATGTTTGACGACAGAGGCTGTTAGATTTGATTTATTAAAAAAACATCTGCAGCCCGCCCCACTTCATCTGTATTTCCAGCTAACTTAATGTAGCTTAATTTAATAATTGTGTGTGTGTGCTTGAATCCCCACTGCTTGCACATCCCTCTTCAAAAATATATTGGTGAATCATTTTTCTTATCTTTACTATAGTAATTAGATTGACTAGTTATTAGTGATTACTATAGCAATATAGTAATAAATAGATATTGTTTAGATGGGTGAGAAAGGCGAGGTGAGAAATGAACAAACCAAAGCAGGAAAGTTTTAATCAAGGACAATTACCTGAATTCATTGAGACAGATATATTGCAGTTTTTAGTGTTGTCAACATCTTTTTTTCCTGTTTACAGCTGAAGGAAACCGCTGCTTTCATTTCACATGATGCCTGAAAGCTCTGAAGAGACAGATATGCTTATTGTTCCTTTATTAGTCAGCTGTTTTTCACTAACTCCTTTACTGCCTTATTTGTTTGATGGATCTAGCAGGTGCTAACTGAAGGTCTGAGTGTTCTTTTTTGTTTATTTGTAATATTTAAAAGAGAAATGTAATGTTTTAATAAAAAAAAAAAGAAATTTAGAACATTTAATACTTGAATACATACTTTGAGTTGATCTGCATGTGCTCTAAAACACTTGCAGATCAACTTAAAATATGTATTAAAAGTGTTTAGTAGGACTCTTAAGGTTGAATTTCCTGATTGTCTATTGCTATACTAGACAACACAAACTGTTAAACTGGTGGTAATTTATCAGATCAAGCTGTGCATGCTCTAAGCTCTACTTGATATAATTTATAAAATGACAACTGAGAAGGGTTTTTACTCTGAGGTGTTTAATTTTACTCTGACTTGTGTGGCTAACAGGTTTACTTGGCTTTTAGGCACTCCAGCGTACCACCTACCTCCAGTTAAGGCCCCCACTGGCACCAAGAAAAAGAACTCAAAGCACTGCTTCCTTTGTGGCAAAAAAACTGGACTAGCCACCAGTTATGAATGCAGGTATACGTCACAAATCCACTGCTGCTCCCATTTAAACAGTCTCACTGCCTGACTCTAAATCTCTCTCTTTTTCATCCCTGTGCTTGAGGCAAGTCTTATAGTACAAAGTGGTCCTTCTCTTGTTCCCTTCGATTTCCTGTCGAATTTGCTGAAGGGAAATGGACGTCACAGCTTTTTTGCAAGTCATTAGTTTTATGAAAGTCATCAAACCATAACACAAATCCCTTTATCTCACTTTTTTTGCTCAACAAATTGAATATATCTTGCAGCCTGCTAGGTTTCAGAAAGTCTTGAGTAATTAACCTCATTTGTAAACGGAGAGATTAGCTTAGATTAAAGAAAGCTAATGTAGAATTAAAATTAGTAAATAAAACAGTAGTTAAGCAAATACAAATGGCATATATCATAATGTTAATCATAAGTGCAGAGTCAATGAAAATGTTAACTAAGAGTAGAAGCTTGGAAAATTAGCTAAAACCAGCACCTTATGATGAGATATAAAAGTCAAATATGTCTCTATTTTACCAGAGTGGTAAATGCTGCCTTTGACAAACATTATTTAACACTTAAACATTGTCAACATTCGGGTGCAAAGGATTTAATCTCTGGGTCTGCATTATCCTCTCAATAGTTCTGTCATCACAGCATTTTATACTAGCCAGCCACGCAGTTATTGCACAAGTTTCATTTGCTGCAAATAATTAGTCTGTTATATTTTTATTTATGCATTTTACTGGCTTCTTCATTTGGCTCAGAGGAGGAAAATAACCCTAATTATGGAAGCTAAACATGCAAAAGGATTGTTTATTGAAAGCAATTAATACTTTAATGAGATCTCTGGACGTTAGCAGACTTTTCGGCTGCTGTTACCTCAAGTGTTCTGGCTGTTTACTTCCTGCCTGAGCTTTTCTGAGCCATAACCTTTATTCTCCTCTGATTCTGTATCTTACTCTGAAATATAGGATTTCAATTGTTTCTTAAAGCCAAATGTGTTTATAAAATGCACTCCAAGTCCATCATCCATTTTCCCTCTCCATCACAAATGGAAACCATTTTAGTCCCACTGGATCCACAAGACCTGTTTCCTTTTATAATGGGCGTTGCGCAGGCGGCTATTTCGCTGTGTAAAATCATAGATAAATGTACCTGATTTGACAGACAGGCTGTTTTTTTGTTTTTTTTTCTTAAGCTAATCATAGGTCTATAGATACTAAAATATATGCCCTTTAATGTGAGATCTAATAGTTTTGTCTAAATTAAGAAAAATAAACTGGAGGTGAAGAGAAAATAAATCTGTAGCTTACTAATGGCAATATCTATCTACTTTTAGGTGTGGGCACAATTTCTGTGCCACTCATCGTTACGCTGAGACGCACGACTGCTCTTATGACTACAAGACTGCTGGGCGGCGGTTTCTGCAAGATACCAACCCTCTTATTAGTGCTCCCAAGCTGCCTAAGATCTAAACACCACAACCCCTCACAGGGGACAGATTGAACAAGGATGAATTCAATGAACCAGGAGGGGAAAATGTTCTGCAAAAGACATTTATAAAAAGGAAAAAACTTACACCACTGTGTGCTTTCTTTATTTTATTTTTAATCTGCCAAGGTTGCTTAAAATTTTAATCATAAAATGTATAATCTAGTGTGGAACACTAGAGTGGACTGAAATGGCACAGAGCTAATTATCACCTTTGGCAATGTGAAAATAGTTGTTTTTTGTATTTCTTAGTTTATTCCTTTTTCGTCTTAAAAATAAACTGCATGTTTGTAGGTAGTATTCACTCTGTATCTTTGCTGCACGTTTTTTTTTTTACTTTATAATTTTTTTCCCCACAATAGGACCGCTGTTGACTTTATTTGACAAGTCTTAAAACAGATGCACTTTAGAACTATATTTCTACATCTAACTTTACTTCATAGTGGGGAAAGCTGCATACATTTCTGTGCTTTTCTCATGACGTGTTAACATCCAGATTTTTATATCCTGTACATTTAAATGTCTTTTCTTAACTGGGCACATAAATACATCAATTATATATTTTTCTTTTTTGAAACAAAACAGTCCACCCACTTATTGATGAAATACTCTAATATTTATTAATGCTACTTATTTAAATAAAGGCTGTTTTTGACATAAGTATGCGATGTAAGTGTGAATGTCAGTAATTTGTCCACTTGTTGATTAAACTGTAGTAGAATGGGGTAGGTTATGCTATTTGTGTCTACAGTGAGGTGGCTGAAAATGTTTTTAATTCTTTTTTAATGCTTTGCTGTTGCAAAAAAAAAAATAAAAAAGCTCAATGCTGGTTAAGTATCTACAGGGGTTTTGTCTAATAAAGTTTTCTTCCATTTGAATTCATAGTCTCTAACCTATTTTTGTCTGAAATAAATTTCCAGTTTGAGTTTACTGTAAATGAAATGACCGAAAGCACTATAAGTCCCTTTGATTTCTTGGACGGATTCTTAAGAATCACAGTTTCTGTTCCTCATTACTGGTACTTGCAATGGTTTTGACCTTCGTCACTTCTAATCCTCACAACTTTTTCCCCTAATGGCTGAGATGAGAAATGTTTCTACTTGGCGTGTACAAATCTTTTCACATTAAAAGCCCTTTCTTGACTTAGACACTTGACTAGTTCCTAAGCAACAAGCTCGGCAAACCAATAAACTTGTTAAACACTGAAACTCCCTCTTTGCTAATTTAAGCCAGAGGACAGCATCTTTATTAAAGCTGGGTCGCCACTTGATGGGAAAGCTGATGTTACCAACTCCACCTAATTTATGTTGATCAGCAGTAAGTATCTTTGTCAATAAATGAGTCTCTTCAGTTAAGAATGAGTTTTATAGTTGAGAGAAAAACATTTCTCTATAACAGCACTTGGTATTTAAAATATACGATGGATCTCATAAAAGCTTTGTTTACATTTACAGGAACATCTTTACATTTATAATACCAGGAGGGCAGATGAATGCCTATAACTATGCACAGAGCAGTTCCCGCTGAAGGAGACTGGACCTATTGAAAACATCAGTGAATATGAGCACTTTGAGGACCTGTTTTAGTTTTGAAAAAAAAAAAAAGCACCTCTTATTATTCTCTCTTCGGATGTTGTTCTTGTGTGTCTGACGATCACTGACCAGAGCCACGTCTGTATTTTTATCCCCATTTTCCTCCTATGTGTTGTCTGGCTTTGATCCTCTATAATTGGGCCATGCAGCAGATCCATCTTGAACCCCTGCATGTTTTCTCTTAGGAGATGAATCCACCTTAACACGGCAAAGGATAGCTTATTATTCAAAGGAATGTGCCCTTAGCCAAGCGATTCAAGTAAATTATACTAATGTATTATAAACACAGAGTAGCTTTATATTAGAGTCATAGTAAATGTATGAAACTGTTTTATCTTTTTATCAAGCACTCAAAGTTTGGTTATTCTCAGTGTGACCAGAGCTTCCATTTATGATCAAAAGCCTTCATAACTAAACGTATCAATGCAGATTCACTTTGGCTAAACATACAATAAATAGCACACAGAGACGGTGAGCAGCACTGCTAAAACAGTAGGTCAGGTACAGCATGGTAGGAGTCACTTAAGAGTGGATTGTTTTTACTCCAGTGGTACAGTAGCCAATAGCTTATGATAGGTTTTAGTGTGTGTTTCACAAAACACACGGTCAAAAGTGTATTGTTTTTTTCTGAGAATCTCCCAGTCTTTTGCAGCTCTTCCAGGAGCAGAAAACTACATTTTTTCAAAGATAAAAATGGTATTTGTTTTTCAAATGGAGCTTTTAGGAGAAATTATCTTGATTGGTGATGGGTGTAGTGGCTCGCAACCTTTAGAGGTTTGATTTGGATTCCGTTTAAACACAAAGTTGTGATCCATTTAATTATGATGATTCATGGTATGGTATTCTATGGCATTCAACTATCTTTCTACTAATAAATTGCTATATAACGGCATGTAAAATGAATAATACTATATAGAATAACCTATGTTTTGTATGTCTCTGTCCCTCTTGAGTATTTTTTCCAGCATGTCTCGTATGTTTTCATCTTTCTTTAAGTGGAACTCTGGTGTTCTTGATTTCCAACTAGAATGGATCTGTGAAGTTCACGTTACGGTTGTCCTGTCCACAGATTCTTTCTACATTAGCTGCAGGTCTCTGCAGCATCTTAAAGTTACACTCAGACTGCTAGCTACTTGCATACTTAATTCTTCCTTTCTCGGGCATATGAATTTTTAATGTATCTTAGATATTTATGAAGTGGTTTCTAACAAACATGGTGTGACGTCATAGATGTCATTACCAATAATACTGAATCAAACCCTGAGAGATGAATACAAATACAAGCTACAATATAGGCCTGTCACATGAAACAAAGCTTGCAACAGAAAAGAAACAGAAAAAGGTTTAAAAGTTAGTTACTGTCACTACTTGTGAAATAGTGCATTCAAGTAGTTCACTTACTAAGCCAAATCCAAGCCTTAAAACTCTTTTGTGTGAATTTTGCATGTTGGCATAATAAAGATTGGTGGTTTCAGAAACCAACATACTTTACAAAGATAAAATACGATTTTGATCATGTAGCATTTATTTGTCCTGCAAACTTTACTTTTTGTTTTCTATAAATTAAAAAGCTCTTTTCAAAAACCAAACCAGCATACAGCTGAGTCATAAACAAGTCACAGCCAAAACAAGTGGCAAACATTACCAGTCTGACAGGACCAACATGCAGGATCAGAGAGAAGGGAACTGCATACTTGGAACACCATGAGGGTTCCTGTTGTTATCTCTCCAATGTCACCTTTAACCATTTTATCCTGAACAACCCACCGTGTTCTTAGGATGAATTTGTCTCCTCCACCCCGTGACTCTTATTCTGTTTGTTCTCTCCTATGAGACTTGTTGACTTTGTAGGATTTGGCATGTTAAAATCCTGCTCTTACACCATTTAGACATCCCAAATTAACACAGGCCCTGGTCTAATTAGGCTCATAAGCTGGGAGAAACCCAGAGCACATGAGGGCAATGATGTTCCAACTGAGAAAGGGTTGTTTCTTTCTAAAGAAGCTGGATTCCATGTTCACTGAATGTGACAAAATGCTGTTTTAGTGTCCAGGGGAGCAGCTGCACTTTGCTCACATGCCTCTCTCACATTTAACACATGAGCCCTAATCCTCTGTGGCTTCAAAGAGAGACAGCCTGTATATCTCTGATGCAGATACACATGCATGACAATTTGGTAGACTCGCTCCCGAAGTTCCCTCTTTGTCGGCACAGAGACTCTGTTGTGTGACCCCAAGGGCGGTGCGGCAAGCAGTGCATCAGTAATAAGTCCAAACACAACGATAGGTTTCACAGAGACAAAGCGGAGGCTCTGAGTAAACAGAGGAGAACTGAGAACTGCCGACATGTTGCTCTCTGAGCGAGAGGCTCTCTTGGTGGGGAGTTAGTTACAGGACATGTGGTGATTCAGAGGCACACAATAAACACCAGACCATTCATGGTCTGAATTAATGACCACTGTATCAGAGTTCATCAAATGATCTTAACTTAAACAGCTCTTTGAGTGTTTATTCATCGTTTACTGGCTCTAAACAAGTTCATTATATCTGTTGGTAACCTAATGGTAACTGATTTAATTATATCATTAGAACTAAACCAATAAATGTTTCATTTAATAAAGGTGTTTTTTGAAACACTAAAGAAAGTCTGCAACTTGTCCTTTTTTCGTTTTTTTTTGTTTTGTTTTTTCCATATTGCAAATACAAATTATTTTATTAATTTCAAAGTATTATTGTGAAGAGGAATAGGAAAATATTTTACTGATAAGAATCTGAAAAGCATGACATGGATTTGTAGTCAGTCCCTTACAGTACATCTGATACCCCTAAATGAGATCTTCTCAACCAATTTATATCAGAAGTTAACTAATTAGTAAATAGATTCCACTTGCAGGTAATTTAATGTCAGACTGTGCTGGTGAAGATAATGAGGCCCAAGAACGTTGAGGAAAGGTCAGGAAGGAAGTTATTTCTTTTTTTTTTTTTTTTTTTTTTTGTCATATCCTTTCTTGCAGTGTAACATTCAGAATTGTTTGCTTCCAGCCAACAGATATATATTCACAAGTGGAGATTTAGGGCTTTGTCTATAATTCTCCTCTCTAAAAATGCACTTGTGTGTAAAAGAAAAATGTGTTAAACATTATTTCAAATGAAACAGAAAAAATACAGAGACAGAAATGATAAGTATCAGGTGGTATCAATAAAGTGATTTATTCTCACCTGAGTTAAAATCCACTGGGGTCAGGTCAGTTTGAACTGGTGCATAAGCCTATGATATATTCAGCAATTGGCAGATGTAAAGATTTTTATTTTATTTATTTTTTTTGCCAATTTAAAATTCTCAACAGAAACCAGTGTTGCTCTTTTTTTTTTTTATCACAAATTAAATATAAAAGAGCAAAACAGAACAGAGTATAAATATTATTGTCCAACAGTTGTAAAATTGATGACAATGGAAGAAATGGTCTTTCTGCATGGAGTTTGCATGTTCTCCCCGAGCATGTGTGGGTTCTCTCCGGGTACTCCGGCTTCCTCCCAAAGTCCAAAAACATGACTGTTAGTTTAATTGGCTTCTCAAAAATTCTCCTTAGGTGTGAGTGTGTACGTGAATGGTTGGTTGTCCTGTTTGTCTCTGTGTTGCCCTGCGATGGACTAGCGACCTGTCCAGGGTGTAACCCGCCTCTCGCCCGTTAACAGCACCCCTCCCGACCCCACTCAGGACAAGCGTGTCAGATAATGGATGCATGGATGGATGGCACAAATGGTTAGAAGAAAGCTTGCAGATACACACATCATATATGAAAAAAAAAATCACCTAACAAACAAAATATAAACAATTGTTAAGGGCTTCCTCCAAAATTATTAGATTTTTCCATCTTTATTTTACTGCAGCCAGAACTAAGAGCCTATGAACATAATGAATTAGAAATGATCATAAATTATTTTCACAGAATGCAAACTTACAAATGCACAAAAATAAACACACAATTAAATGGATCTAATGAATAAACGTTGTTTCCAAGTGCAGTAAAATAGTCTGAGCTGAAAAGTCATCATTTAAAAAGTTAACACCATCTTGACTCTAAACTCACCTCAGATTAAGTGTATTTGAAAGACACATAAAAATAATAGGAAGGATAATGTATATTTTAATGTATGCTTATATAAACACCTTCATTAAACACCATGACCACATATAGATACTAAAATGATGATGTGAATCATGTCTAGCCCTGAGAGTGTGGAGGTCAGAGAA